CGAATACCGTTTTAGTTATTTTATTGACTTAAGGTAGGGATTACCTTTGTTTTTAAATCCGCTCTAAACCAGCGGTGCGGCGAATGCCGTTTTAGTTATTTTATTGACTTAAGGTAGGGTTTACCTTTGTTTTTAAATCCGCTCTAAACCAGCGGTGCGGCGAATGCCGTTTTAGTTATTTTATTGACTTAAGGTAGGGTTTACCTTTGTTTTTAAATCCGCTCTAAACCAGCGGTGCGGCGAATGCCGTTTTGGTTTATTTATGGTAGGAATTAAAAATGAAATCGGCGCCGACGGCCGGGTAGCCATATTTAAGAGGGGAGGAGTGTTATGTTCTATCCCCCCTTATTTCTTTTATTTTTGTTTCTCCTTGTTTCTTTTGTTTTCCCATCTTCTTTTATTTTGTTATGAAATTAATATATTATACCTTATTTTTATATTGCATTTGAAACTGGTTCTTACCAGTTTCATGAATGATTATATCGCGATTAAATAACAACTTTTTCTTTCCCCCTTTGTTTTAAAAATTATAAAGGTGGAAAACAAAACACCATTAATCATTAAATATTTTTTTTTGTAATAGAATTTCATTTTTTTAATTGTAATTTCTCTGATTCGAATAAACTTTAAAACTTACGTTGTCCAAGTGATTCCATGACTAAAAGGGGAATAATACAGTCCGTGATCGGGGGTCCGGGATGGTCAATGACTGGATCCAGGGGGCCGGGTTTTATCGATTTAGTCATGGAATCACTTGGACAACGTAAGTTTTAAAGTTTATTCGAATCAGAGAAATTACAATTAAAAAAAAGAAATTCTATTACAAAAAAAAATATTTAATGATTAATGGTGTTTTGTTTTCCACCTTTATAATTTTTAAAACAAAGGGGGAAAGAAAAAGTTGTTATTTAATCGCGATATAATCATTCATGAAACTGGTAAGAACCAGTTTCAAATGCAATATAAAAATAAGGTATAATATATTAATTTCATTACAAAATAAAAGAAGATGGGAAAACAAAAGAAACAAGGAGAAACAAAAATAAAAGAAATAAGGGGGGGGATAGAACATAACACTAAGATACATATTATTTAAAAGTATTTGTATCTTAACCAACTTTGTATTCAAAAAGATACAGATACTTTAAAAAAAATTATATTGGTTAATTTAAATAGTATTAAAATTTAAAATGATATTGTTTTAAGATTTAAAAGAAAAAATTTAGATATTTTAAGATAATTTTTGATATATGACGTTGGTCGTCATATAGCAATTTGCTAACAATTAAAACTACCATATTTGAATCTTTTTATATCTGTCTATTTTAAAATTATGGAAGAAGAAAATAGAATAATATGTTTATCTTCGTCTTCAGATGATTCTTTAACCGAAAATTGTAACAATAAATTTAAACTAAGCATACTTAATGGCAAATTTTTTGAAGTACTTCAAGATGATCATAATAAAGAAATTCAACGTGACTTTGGTATTGACGAAAAAGTTATAGCAACTGTTACAGATAACGGCTCTAACTTTAAGAAAGCTTTCAAGGAGTTTGGATATTCTATGGAAGCTGTAGAGAATGACTTTGACATCAATGATGATGAATGTATAGAATTCGAAATCATTGAAAGTATTATTTAATACTTCTTTAAAATTTATTATGATATTGTAAATTTTGTAAAAAATTTTATTCAAATAAAATTATTCATTTGTTTATTTAAGGGTCTAAAGAAGCCTCAATAACATTGCCTCAACACATTCGTTGTTTGTGCCATACGATAAAATTGCCACAACAGATGTCGAGAGAGCTATTAAGGATTCTCCTAACATTTCTAACATCCTGCAATAGCTAAATGTACTAAGCTATGGAATGCAAATAATAGGCCTAAAACTGCAGAACTTATCAAAGCAGTTTTAGGAAAACAATTAGTTACACCTTGTTGCACTAGATGGAATTGTTTGTATGATAGTCTTCATAGTTTATTAAAATTTAAAGGCGAACTTCCTAAATTATGTCAAAAATTAGAATTTCCTAAATTAAGAGATATTGAAATTCAATATTTAGAAGAATATTGCAATATAATGGCCCCATTGGCTATAGCGATTGACAAAATACAGAGTGAAATCAACTGCTATTATGGAGAATCAGCTCCAATTTTAAATGTCGTTAAAATAAAATTACAAATTTAATTCAAACCAATCTACAATTTTGCAAACTATTAGCTGTTGCCATAGAAAATTTTTTAAATAAAAGATTTAAAAATATATATGATTTTGATAACAATGTTAAAAGTGCATTTTTGGCAACTATTTCTCATCCCTATTTTAAAAATCGTTGGATTGATGGTGAAAAAGAAAAAAATACCTTCAGGATTTGTTATTACATGAAGTTTTAATTGTTTTTAGAAATAATATTGAAATTAATACTTCAACAAAATCTTCAATTGATGAAGATGATGATTACTTTTGCCTTAAAAGTACCACATCCAATTCTAATAATTCAATAAATGATATTGAAATAGAGGTACTAAATTATATGAAAGATGACATGCGGAGTATAAATATATTAAATAGTTATAAATATATAAAAGAAATATTTTATTAAATATAACACAATATTACCCTCCTCAGCCCCCGTTGAAAGATTATTTAGCTTTGCTAATATGGTTAATAGATCAAATCGTCAAAGATTGAACGATAAATCATTTGAAAAATTAATAATATTAAAAAATAATGCTGATTTATGATGCTGATTTATGATGCTGATTTATGATGCTGATTTATTATTATTTACTAATTATATAATTATTAAATGGAATATCGCATTATCTTTTATAATAAATTTGTTATTTTCAACAATTTATTTTAAATATTTTTTTTATAAATTTATATTATAGATAAGAAATAAAGCTTTATACATTTTGATTTTGACTATTTAAAGTTTTTTAAAAAAGTATCTTGTATCTTAGATACTTTTTTTAAAAAAAATACAAGTATCTTGTATCTTATATCTTATTGAAATTTTTCTAAAGTATCTAGTATCTTGTATCTTAAATACAAAATTTTATAAAGTATCTGTATCTGTATCCGAATACAATTTTCTGAAATTTGCCCAACCCTGACCACTATCACAATCCCTATGCCACCTCTGCCTATTTTTTAACAAATATAAGCATTCAATTCCATACTATCATTCACTTTACTAGGAGTTAGTATAAATATTACTTTATCCGATTCTCTGAGAAACTTTCATGAATATTTAGAGGAATGTTCAAACTTGAATGTGCAGTACGGTTATTTTCATCAACTTTATTAATGGAAAAATATGCAGTAGTTCTGTCGTGGCCTTTATAACAATTCTTACTACCTTTTTATGGTTGAGTTAACATTATCGTTCATGATTCTATTTTAGAGGGGGGTACCAATGCTGACATTGACAGAAATATCATTTTGCGTTCTTCTTTTACCAGTATCCCAACCCCAAGGCATAGGCATATGCCTCATCTTTATCAGGACGTAAAGTATTTTGTACACTGCTTGGTAATCCGTCATTAATTTCATCTACAACCCTAAATGATATGAAATTGTACATTTATTATTTCCTCCATAGACGACCGCCCAGATTGATTTTGTCGCTTTTTCCATCAAAAATAAAAATGTCAACAAGGATTTTCTCTTAATTTTATCAAATAGACAACATAATAATTATTCCTCATTATTTTTTAAAAAAAATAGCCTAAATTTATATGTCAATAAAAAATATATAAATAATTTGCATATAAGTTTCATTAGTGTTTAATGGCATTTTTGTAATTTAAATAGATAGCATTTTTTTTAACTTAACATAAAAATATAGACAAATAATTTGGGAAATGCAAGACATACATTAAATTTATCCGAAAAGCTACAATAACCCTATATAATAAACAATAATTTTTTTATATATAATTTTATTTGTTCATATTACCAAAAAGTATAAGAGTCGGTTATTTTTATTTTATTTGTCATGATTCTCTAATAAGTGGTTTGCCCAGGCCTTCCCAGTTTCCCTTAATAGGGAATTCACATGTTTTTTTTAACATCTTAAACTAATTGGTAAATCAGATATTTCCCCTTCATGTGATGATAAATCAATTAAAAATTTAATCTCCGAGGTGGGAAAAATTTTTCAAAATTATATTGGATACGACTGGGCTTGGAACTCAGAATTAATATTAGCTTGCACTTGACATGGGAATATCTTTTACAAATTATTAAGGGTTGAGCTGGGCTTGATAAACTTTTTTATAATTATATGCTTCCAAATATTGTGAGCTTGGACCTGGCATGACATCTATCGTAAAAAATGAATAAAAATCTTATTCCCCGTCATTTTTGACGGGCTTTCTACTAGTATGTATTAATCTACTAATATCGAAAATAGTATTCATTTAATAAAAATTTAAATTATTAATTTCTAAATAATAAAAAAGAAATCATTCAGGGCGCTATCAAAAAAATTCATTTTTAGTTAAAGGGGATATTAAGGAGCCATTAAAAAAAATATTTTTGCCTCAAGGGACTCTTCAAATTTTTCAGGGGGCTCAAGCCCCTGCGCACCCCCTCCTCCTAGCGACGCCACTACTAAAGAGGATGTTTTTTATTAGGTTAAATTGATATTCCCAAAAGATGATATATTTATGAAGGCGTGAAATTCCACCCCCTCCATATCGGCATATATGAACTACTCATTATAATGAGGTAATTAATAACGGACACTTAAAACCAAATTGATTTTGTTATATTTTAAAGAAAAAAAAATATCAGTGGAATATTTCTTTAAATAAATTGTCTCATATAACCATTTATTTCCTCCTATTTTGTAAAAATATATATTGTGTAAAATTTGAATATAATAAATAATATATTGTTTAAACCTAATCACTTATGATAATATTTAAGATAATTGTGCCTTTTAGAAATTATTAATATTTTCAATATATAAAAGTCTTATATAGTTTATTGGTCTGATTTATTTTTTTTACTTTTCCGACATTTTTTCATACATAAATGGAACGTGAAGTATTTATTCTCAGTTTGTATAATATTGTTTTGTTATTAGCAAAAAGACCGTGAAATATACTGCAAATTATTTGTTGGAAATCTAAAATTTTCTACAACTACAGATGACTTGAAAGAATTTTACTCTAAATTTGGTGAGATAGTGGATTGTGTAGTGATGAAAGATGGGACTGGAAAATCTCGCGGTTTCGGTTTTGTAACATATCAGGATCCTGATAGTGTTGATGAAGCACAAAAGAATAGACCACATTATATTGGTGGGCGTAAAACGGAACCTAAACGAGCTATACCAAGAGGGGTAATTATTTTAAGATGTTAGCTAATAATAATAAATATATAGGAAGCAGATAAACCTGAAGCGCAGCAAAATATTAATAAAATTTTTATTGGAGGGCTACTTGAGGAAGTAAATGAGCCTGAGTTAGAAGATTATTTTTCAAAATACGGCAAAGTAGTTAATACAAATGTTATAAGAGATAACGTTACTGGTAAAAAACGTGGATTTTCATATTTAACATTTGAGGATTATGATACTGTTGACAAAATAGTTTGTAAGATTTTAGTTTTTTTTACACAGTTTATCAAATATAATAGTGGAAAAATATCACACTATACATGGCAAGACATCTGAAGTAAGAAAAGCACTATCTAAGGAAGAAATGAAAGTTCATCAAAGAAAAACTTTTAGAAGAAGATATGATGATAGGGGAGATGGTATTTCTTATAATTTTTTATTAGATGTTATGATTTTGTCTTAGATGACTATAGAGGTGGTGGAGGAGGAAATAATATGATGATGCCTGGAAATTTTCTGGGTGGTCCTATGGGAGGTGGTATGATGGATGATCTTAGTTCTAATGGAATGATGATGGGTGGAACTACTCCATTTGATATGTTAGCTAATATGGGAATGATGAGCACTATGATGGGAAATATGATGGGTATGGGAAATAATCCAATGGCATCTATGATGGGAATGGGCCAAGGTGCTAATGGTAATCCAAATAGCTTTAATGGTGGTGGAGGTACTGGTCAAAACATGAATGCTTTACAAGGTGGTCAAATGGGAGCAGTACAGCCTATGGGAGGACAAATGGGAAATTTACAAGGTATGGGTGGACAAATGGGAACTGGTCAAAACATGGGTGGACAAATGAATGGTACAGGTGGAAACATGCCAGATGGTAATGCTGCAAGTGCTATGATGTCTGGCATGATGGGGATGATGGGAACTGGCATGAATGATGGTGGTATGGGTAGCTTCAATTCTGGATTTAACAACTCAAATTTTCCTAGAAGTATTTAATTAATATAGATTTTTTTAAAATATATTTATATTAGATCAAAGCCAAGGGTTTGCTAATATGGCTGGCCCTATGAGAGGCAGATCAAATACAGCATTTAGAAATAAACCCTATAATAGTAAAAAATATTTCCCTAAAATAGTATAATTATATAAAATGTAGGTGATGGACCAAGAGGTGGAAATGATAGAGGCTTCTCTGCTAAACGTGGTGGACGTTTTTAAATTACACAGGCCCAGGTTTTAAATTTGTAAGCACAAAAATAATGATGTGGAGCTAAAAAAATTGTAATCATTTATATTTTGCAGGTACATAAGATTTCCCCAGTTCAATTAGATTATATGAATTAGATAAGATTGATAAAGGAGAATCAATTAACAAGTTTTCAAATATGAGAAATACGTTTATATCAGATTAGCAAACAAACCTGGGCAGATATACATATTTTCCAAATCTTCATTATTTATATATATTAAATAAAATATACATAAGTATAATTGTATTGTAATTTAAGAATTATATATATTTTTTATATTTATTAGATATAACATTAATTTTTTTTATACATTCATATATTGTAAGAGTTTATAAAATTGTATATTCAATGGTGTAAATAAAGATATTATAGATAAGTGAGTACATATAAATCTAAAACAATGAATAATAAAAAAATTACATGAGTATTGTGTAAAATAAAATAAGACCTTAAGAAAGTGGAATTCTCAATAAAGGTAAGTTGTTCAACTTGAAAGATTAGATAAGGTACACATTTTGTCATATATTTAATTTAAATTTATTTTAGAAAGTCAATGGTATTGGTATATGGAGGGGATGATATTATTTTGTTAACGAAAAAATTGAATTCCTGGTTGGAAATTTTATTATAACTTGCAGCACCATGTGATTTATTGGATTCTATTTTTTGAAGAAACTACTATAAAAAGTATAATTATAATTTACTAATGATGATCATAAATTCTGCCATATGAGTCATTATATGAAATGAAATTATATTCTGATATTTTTAAAATGAATACTTATATATGTAAAACTTTTATTAGGTAATTTCAAATGCCAGAAGAGGATTTAACCAATAAAGGTATTACAATATATATCAAATGATGATTGTAATTTGCGTATGATTTCTATGATGACTAACTATCACTGATTAACCTTATTGTCATATTTATTTAAAATATTTTAGGATTTAAATTGTTTCAAAATTTGATCTTCAAAGACATCACCATGGCATACTTAGGTTAAAAAAGATATTAAAATATATCAAAATATTATTTGATGTATGATTAGTAGGATTGTGAATTATTACTTATAGATGATACTCATTTTTATATATTTATTATATATTTCATTTGTGAAGAAAATTAATAAAGTAATGAAATTGATGTTAAATGTGTATTATTATTTATTTACATTCACTATCTGTTTTTTATTTGATTTTTAAAATATATTACATAAATTATATTTTTTTAAGGATATTTAAAGTTTTTATCTAAAATAAAAAATTTTCAGGAAAATATAAATTTGCATTTTTATGAAACTTGATATTTTATTTATTACCCATATTTTTAAAAGCTTTCTAAATTTATATTTATCCAGTTAATCATATAACTAATATGAAAACATTTATAAAGTATTAAATTATAAAAATCCTGTATTATTATAGCCTGAATTTTTTAATAACTTGGTAATTTTAAATAAACTTGTATGGGCAAAGTTTACTTTTGATTGTTTTTTTAAATATTCAATAATTGTTATCAGTTAATATTTTAATATTAATTTTGAGAGCTATAAATTAATTATAATTTATGAAAAATCAAAGCTTAATTGAATAGCTATCTGTTAACTTGAAACTGCTTTATAAGTTAGTGAGGTACAATCAATAAATAAGAAAAACACGTAAGAGATCATAAGTGATCTAAGATTTTAATAAAAAGAAATGTCATAATTTGTAACAATCACCTTAAACCTTGAAAGGTTATATGAAATAAAAATAGAAGAAAATTTGATTTTTGACTGTTAAAAAATACCCTACAAAAAAGGCTAATATAAATTTTTTATGGAAAATAAATAAAAATTTCTTATTTTTTTTATAGCGGCAATATTTTAATTAATAAATCTTGTGGAAAATGTTTAATCAATGCCATTTTAGGCGCATACCTAATAACGTTAATGAATGAAGCTTATATCAGTATATTTGATACCAAAAATTTATAAATAGTTTTTCGACTAATGCCGCTCCCTTATTTATGTTTTTAAGGAAAAATGGATAGATAATGAAGCAAGAGTAATTAATAAATATAAGAAACATCATTTTTAAGGCATAATCCGAAAAGGCCAATGATTCTAGCTGCTGACGCGTAGCAACATGAAATAGGATATTTTATCTCATTAACGAGTAAAAGCCTGTTAGATTCACTTCTCGAACATTAAATGTCGCATCGAAATTACAGTCAGTTATAGAACGTGGGGCTTCAATCATTTAGATTGATTAAATTTAAACAATATTTCACTAATTTCATTGATCATAAACAATTTATATTTACTTAACTCACATAAAAAACAACAGATATGTCGTTAAGATTAGTAAGATGGTCATTATTACTTGCAAACTGATGACGAATTGCAATTTCGAGAAACGAAAAATAATAGCAATATGGATATGTTTATAAGCTACCAAATTGACGGTAAACCTACTCGGGATGAGTTAGAGAATAATTTAACAATATTGGATGCTTTACAATTTATTTCAGCATTGTTATGAAATCACACAAGGAATGACCCGGTACTATCAAAAGTTTCACGCTGCATTACAAGGGTGGCCAAAAATAATAAAGGAAAATTTAAAACCGTTTTTCCAATGCCTAAATATTTTGTCTATTTTACATATGGGGCATCAGGGTTCTACTAAAACAAAATTATTGGCCTAAGAATGTTTGGTGGTCTAATATTAACGGGTACATCACATATCACGGTAAGAATTGTGAATTATGTCAAACAAATAACCCTAACCGTAAAACGATCATAGGGAAATGATCCTCAGCAAATAAACAATGGAAGAATTTATTTGGATTATGCTGGATAATTAACGGAGATATATATCTAGTAATAATTGATAGTTATAGTAAATGGCCTGAAATACAAAAACTTTGGACAACTAATTATCTCCCCAATAAATCAAAAATCAAAGTATTGACCCCCCCCCCCCTGTCACCCCTGTCACCCCATTAAATCAAAGTAGTAATTTTTCATCAATTCAACATTTTAAAATGGGATATGAATGCTTGAGGCTATCCTTAGCTCCAACCTTGGTTTGCTTCTTTCCAATGAAGAACTTCGGATAGGAATAGGTTTTCGTTTAGGCTGTTATATCGTCACACCTTCATCTTGCAAACAGTGTCAGCTCCTTATCGACAGTCTAGGGCATCACCCTTTTCACTGCTGTTTCTCTAAAGGCCGCTATCCACGACACCAAGCAAAAATTTAATTATTGCTAGAACTCTCCGTTCAGCTAATATTACATCAACTTTGGAACCTCTAGGTCTTAATTTCGGGGACAATATCAGGCCTGACGGAATGACTCTTATCCCACGGAGCAGAGGAATCCCGCAGCCTGGGATTATACATGAGATGATCGCTTTGCACCATCCTTTTGCTCTAATTCTTGAGTTAGAGCGGAATTTAGAAAAGATCAATAAATACATTACCATTTCCAATATTACTCTAACCCCCATTGTTTCTGACACAATCGGTGCTTTTGGACCTAGATCATTAGAATTTTTCAAGGCACTCGGCCAAAAAATGCGCTGTTCCTTCTCTTTTTTTTTTATATTACATCACAGTATTTTATTACCTTTTTTTTTAAAATAATATAGATTTTATATTTTTATATAGCTTATCCTTTTATTGTAAATTGTATACGTTTTTAAATCGGAATATTATTCCAATTATAGATATGTATATTTGAAATTTTTTATATAGCTTATCCTTTTATTGTAAATTGTATACGTTTTTAAATCGGAATATTATTCCAATTATAGATATGTATATTTGAAATTTTTTAATAAAAAAATTTCACGTTAAAAAAAATGAAATTAATTACAAAGATATAATAAAATGGTTCATTGTTTCACGATAGTTCAATATATTTTGCTCAAAGCAATTTTTATAATTTTAGGATAAAAAACGATTTTTTAGCAAATTAAACCAGGAAAGTTTATCAAAAGATAAACAGGTAAAAAAAATTTGTTATAAAAATACAACATCCCACCAACTTTAAGATCTTTATGCTCAAGTAAAAGTTATTCACGTTAACATTGTTACTCTCTCAATCGCTTTATCCCGGTCTCCTCTATCTGACATAAAGGCATCAAACTAGTTTAAACCATATCTCTTCAGAATATAATATTTTATTTCCAATGATAAATAATATTGCTTCTATTTTTTTATTAGCAATGAGAAAAAACGGATATTTTGTAAAAATATAAAGTAAAAATTAAATTATTTTTTTTATTATATATGTAAAAAATTTTTTTTGTAAACATTGGAGAAGAAATTTAGAATAGAAGAGAATATAAAAACTGTTAGCAAGTAAGAAACATTAATAAGTAAGGGTTTGAAAGACCCTTCAGCATATAAATTTTAAAGTTGCTAAAATAATACCAATTAAATTCATGTATAATAATTTACTGATCCTTTATTGTTGTATTGCCGTAAAACATGATATAATAAAAAAGTAGAAAATTAAAAAGTTATTGTAAAAAAAGTACAAGAAAAAATTAAAGAATCGTAATCTCCAAAAAAAAATACTTTCTTCAAAATTAATATTTCTCTTTTTCCTTAAAAATATTCTCATTTAAATAGTCTATAATTTGAAATTTTCTAATAATAGAAAAACACCCGATTTAATATAATAATTCTTCTAATTATATCTTGGATCCATATAATTTGCATAAGAATAATATCTATATAAAAAAATAGGCTATCAATTAAAAAACAATTTCTGAGTGCATTATGCATACACAACAATATACAATTTGTTTCTTAAATATAACATAACAATTATTAGCCCATTAATAATATTTTTACCTTATTTAATTTTATCTTCCAATTTATTTCCAAAAATATGAAATCAAATATATTTTGTTCATTTTATAATAATACGAATAAATTTGATTCGTGTTATGTTTGCTTAATAAAAATAGATAAATTTTCTCATAAATAATAATGTAAATATTATTTAAAATTCTTGCAATGGAAAGAATAAGAACCTGGCATTTGTTGCCATGGATTTTATTTATTTTTCCTAATTTTAAAATCAAGGAAAAATTTTTGTCCCTTTCACTCGGATTTTTCGAGATATTTTTATATAGAAATAATATTGATTGGTAATCGAGATTTATTTAATCAAATTCTTTTGTTTTATAATTCTGCGCTTAGTGTGAAAATTTTTTTTATAGGATTATTATTATAAACATTTTATTGTTAAAAATAGGGTAATAAATTTGTATTTTGTTTTCATTTGGATAGGTACTGCGAAATTTATTTATAATATATATTTAAAAAATCGCGATTTATGTAAAGTGTTTGGGACCTAGTTGGCCACAGCCTCGCTTCCAATCCGATGGTTCTGGGTTTGAATACTAGTTAAGATTACTTTTTTTTCTTAATCCAACTTGATCGTTACGTTCTAAAGGGGTTTTATTATGTTTTAATAAATTTTGGTGGGTATTTAGCAAATTAGGTAGCTATTTAGAAAATTTTCTATGTTGACTTGGCAGTATGCATCATTAATAAATATATAAATGAAGTGAATTTGATTTAGTAAAATAGTATCCATCATTAATAAATATATAAATGAAGTGAATTTGATTTAGTAAAATTACATATTCTACGAGGTAAGAATTATATAACTTATATTATATGTCGTAAAAATTGAAAATTTCTTCTGGTTTGCATGAATTTATTGTGAAGGAATATAGAAGTTATATAATAGATATTAAATTTTATTCATTTAGGATAAATCAGATTCAAATGGATATGATATATTAAATCTTTAGAATATTTATGATGCAAAACATATTTTAGCACTAATCTCTCACATGAACATTGCAGACCGTTTAAGCTCCAATTCAGTAAAAATTAGATTTAACTTTTCCAAACCCATACCAAAGACTCCCTTTTATCCTTTTAACGCCCATATATGTTTAAGCATAAAGTTAGTCTATATTTAATCACTGGTAACTGCAGACTACCCAAAAATTGATGGATAATTCTTGTAATTTTAAATTTACCCCCTATATATTTTGTTTATCCAATTTGATAGGCGTCTTAAGAATCACGTACATTTATTGTTTTTAACAACATGAAAGGGCGATACGCTTAAAGAATGACGAATAATAAGCTTCTAAAATACTTAAATTATATACGTTTTTAAAAATTCGATTTATTTTTCCAAATGTTTAAATTTATAACATCAGGTCCGTGAAGTTGGCAGAGGATTAAATGCTTGAACTTATGCCAAATCTTAATTGATCCTAAAGGATCTTTAAACTAGACACCAGCGAAATTAAATTATAAGCAAAATAAAAAGAGTATGAAATCTTAAACCTTGCGAACGATTCAAGGATAGATTACCTAAAGTTATACCATTGTGTAGAGTTAATTGATCCTCAAAGGGACAATTTAATAATTATAAAATGGATTAACACCTTAAAACGACGCGATAGTAAAATATGTAACAAGGAAAAGAATTTATACTAAAAAATGTAAAATTACTTAATTTATTTTGGCTGAAACCAGTTTAGCATCTGTAAAAGTTCTTGCGATTTATAATGGGTCCCTGATTTCAACAACTTCGCGTTTATAAAATGGCTACCGGTTAGTGATACGGATATCCGATTTAGAGAATATTAAAGCTCTAATTAAGTGTTATATGTAGCACTTATAGAATATGATTTTCTTATTTTCGGTTAAAATATATAAATTCACCAACTTTTCAAAGTAGTCAGTTACCCAATTTATCAAGACATTTTTTAAAAGTAGTTGATAGGAATTCGAAATTTTGGTCAAATTAGTGAGATACCTAAATTAGATAAGTTTGACTGTGATGGACTTTGAAAATTTAAATTGCTGCTTATACTAGGGGTGCACCGATACCACTTTTTGGAGACCGGTCCGATATTTAATTGATATAGGTCGATTACCGATCCGATATCATATCTAATTTTGTATTCTGTAAAGATACAAATGGTTCTAATTTTTATTATACTTTTTATTAGTATAACATAAATAATCTAACTATACCATAACTTATGTCATTTAAATATATTATAATTTTCATTTATAGTTTATATTCAATTGAATCGCCATTCTTATATAAAAATTTTTTATTGTTAAATTTCTTTTATATAATAATTAATAATATTAATCTATATACATAATAAGTAATAAACATATATATGAAATTTGAAATAAATATTTAACATTAATATATCGAAGATTTCTTTTTAGAAATACTAAAATCAGAGGTCAGCCTGTAGCGATGTTAACTGTCAATATCACCAGCTTCACTACAAACAGATTTTGAAGAGATTATCGCACATTTTTAAAACAGAATGCGCAAAAAAAATAACAATATGGCAGAATGTTTATTAATTATTATTATTAAAAAAATAAACATAAAATGGATTTTGATTTTATTTATAAATATAAATGATTTTAGATAAAACTTTTTTTTGTTAAAAACGCTATTTTTTATCGGATCGCAAAATTTTATAATATTGGCCGATAACTGATATTTAAAAATGGGTGAAATATCGGCCCGATTTGATACAAATATCGGTATATCCCTAGCTTATACATTTCAATTTCCCTTCGAAACGATATGCGAACTAATTTAAAATAAATATCAATATCATAAAATAATCAAAAATAAAAATCTCGGCCAGGGTTGATAAAAAAAATCCCAAACCTGGCCAGGCTCAAAATTTTTACCTCTGCAAGTCACTCATCTAGATCCATATCTCCTCCCATGAAAATATTTGATTTCTCGTTTTTTTAAAAGAAAAGTTTTATTTAACCCATTTTTTTTTGTATGTCGCAATGTTTCGAAATAATTTACTATTCGCATGCCACACTTTCACCGTTAGCGCAAATTCGCGGCGATGTATACAAAAATGAATGGAAAATTATTTATTATATTTATATTACATTTTGTATTTACTTTACCACGAACACTAATTAATTGTGATAGGGTAATGTTATGCTTTTTTCCAAAATTTTAAATCTTAAAATTAATATTTTATAAGCCTCCTACATATTATTATAGGTTCCTATTTAAAAAAATATATATGGAGTCATTAGACAATTTTTTCCTGGTCACACCACGAAAATTAGGTTTGGTGTAAGAGCTCTAATATTTGTATAAAATGGTGCAACAATAGAAGATATCAATTAAAAACATTTTTTTAGATTTACAAATGATGATGATTTATTAATAATGAACAAAGTATTTTATTTGTTCATCAAAATAATCCTATTTTTTAAATTACACATATAAATATAATTATTATATAAAAATTAATACAACAATTTATGTATATTCTTCGGCGGATAAGGATGAATCAGAATCATAACCTAGCCAAAATAAAAATTATTATATAAGATATAAATGACTTGACTTAATAAAAATATTAATTACCGGATATATTCTGTAAAGCGCCTTTAACCTTTTTCTCATCACAGTGAGGTACGGATATAACCTCCTCTTTCATATTGTCTAAACAAAAATGATTATGGAACAATATAAAAAAAATAACTTGAAATCTTTTTCCTTTTCATCAATGAAGGTATAATAGTAGGCTTTTTAAATTCAAAATCGGTCGTCTTACTGAATGAGATTGTTCTAAATCATATGTGTATTGATTAAAGTGTTAAAAGCCAAATGTTAATAAACTTGTTCGATGAATATGGCATCGTATTTAATAGGGGCTTGGGTTGAGTTTCATCTGTGTTTTTCTAATAACATTTTTTAATAAAAAAATATATTATGATTCAATAACCTGATTTTTTTTCTTTTCAAAACGTAACAGCAAAAAAAGTAATTTCAAATATACAAGAAAAAAAAACTCTCGGAAAGACCACACCTAAGCTAAATAATTTTAGATGATTGATTTCAGATATATCGTAATGGGCCATTACTGCTTCTATAAAAGGTAATATAAATAGCCCTCAAGTGTTAATAATTGATTGCCTCGTAAACCACATTTTTTGATATAATGGTATCGATACAAACATGATATCGATATATGTCCAATTTTTTTATAAAAAGTATAATCTAAAAAAAATTAACTGACAAACTTACTTCATAAAATTACAATTTCTTATATCAAATATCGGTAAGTGTCAATTTCGAACTGAAAATGTCTTTCAATATGAAACTTGTAGTCGTAATTTATTTATTTGTAAAAAATTAGCAACGTTTTTCTTAAAATATGAGGAGTAATAATTATTTTGGGTTTCGGTCATTGGAATCAGTTTAAATTGAAATTTCACCCGATACCAAAATATCGGGTTTGGAACATATCTGTTAAAAGTATATGCAATGCTTAATTTAAAACAAAAACTTAATATTTCTTTTCCTTTTGTTCTTTTAAAATCTCAATATTTTTTGAAGTTTCACAAACCCTAAATTTATAAGTATAATAATAAAAATGTATATATATTAAGAGCAAACCTTTGTTATAATTTTTTTGATAGTATTATTAGGGCCTAAGATAATGGCTTGATCCTTATTGGACGGCATTTGTTCAAAATCGTTATCTTCGGAGTCACTCAATGTTGAACATTTAGTAGGCGAATATCTTTCCTTTATATTTTCATCACAAATTACTTACAGGGGTAAATTTGGTTGGTTTTATTTTTTACAATTTAAATAAATTATATATTATGTAGATGAATTTTTATTTTACTTCTGTCAAATATGTAAATTAGGTCTCATTTATATTAAACGCGTTATGTTCAAGTGATGCGTTATTTACAAAATTAAGCGAATAAATAAGTATAATTTATAAATATGGGGTGTTATGATGATAATGCTATGATAAAACTTGAAAAACATAGGTAGGGACGTATATTTTAAAAATAATTAACGTTATGAAGAATCAGCTGTGATCACGATAGCTTTAAAAAACGCAACACTTGAAAAGCGATTACTATAAATAAGGCCTTAGGCATGATAATTTCAGTTATGAAATTATCGATAATCATAAAAATTAATAATATTTATATGTTTTAGCTTTAAGCATGACAATATATTTTTAATGAATTATAATGAGATTCGCAAAATAATAATTGCAAGAAAAAGAAGCGAATGCTATTTCTAAATATTCTATTTTAATCAAAAAAAGTTTTTATTTTGTAACATTTTACATAATATTTAAAATTTATAATTAAACAACTAGGAATTGCCGCCCCACCACCTTATTATACTTATCTGGATAAAACATGGTTATCTCGGCTTCCTTGCAAAAAAAACAGTCGCGATTACTCGAGGAGGGGCCTTGCATAAATGACGGGAATTCTTAAAGGACAGGTCGTAGATCAAGGTACAAAATATGAATGATCAATATTGTTACCTTGATTATTTTGAGCCAAAGAGAGAGGTGGAATGTACAAAGGATATGTTAATGCGTTTGAAGTGGATGGATTTGTTCGCGATTGGGACAGATTTGGCACATTACTCGGGTTCATTGTACTATGAAAATTATTTACTAAATAATTAAATGTACGAAATTTGATTTAAAACATATGCATGTAAATAAAAAATTGTTCGTGCTTTAACCTTATTAAATATATATTGTTTTTTATATTATAAAAAAACAAAAAAAAAATCTTAGAAATGAGTCAAAATAGTTTACTCAAACAATTTATTACCTACTTTCCTAGGATTTTATTGGATAATTTATTTGATATCTCTATGACTGAATCTTATAATTTTTTTTGCAAAACTATATTATTTTTAGATAAATCAATTTTCAATATTGAATTTTTCTTCATCACCAATTAAAATATTAAACATATAACATATAATTCTTTATTTTCATTATCATGCTCTCATCTCCTATCTAAAATAAAAAAAATGCTTTCTCGAAAAATTATTTTAAAAAATGAATTTAGAACATTGCAATATTCAGCAGACGATTTATAAATTTAATCTAAAGGAATACATGATATATGTATCTAATTTATTATTATGACTTTTATTTAAATAACGTTAATGAGTATGAATGAAATTAAGGATTGTTATTTTGATTTATGTGGCTTTATGATTTATATATCTTTATTTACTTTTTGGTGTATTTCAACTATCGGTCTGCTATGCCGGCCCCATGGGTCGGATAACATCTGAAAAATATAATTTTGGCCTGGCCGGGCTAAATAAATTAACGTAATAGAGGATGACAATACAATCTACAAGATTATCAGGTTTTTAAATCATATTTTTTATTATAGTCTTGAATTTAAATTTAATCTCAAATAGTCAAATCATCATTGACAGACTATGTAATGTATTAGGCATATTGATGAATTCTGATATTTCATGATAATCCATAAAGTATACTGTTTTTAATTTAACTACTAACCAATTATTATAAATTGTTGTTTATATAAGTGTTCAACTACATATGTTTAGGAGGCCTTGGATTTAAAAAAAAGTCTAATCTGACTGAGCAAAAACTAAATCCAAACTAAGCAATGCCCGAAAAATTTGGCATTTGTAGACCTACAATTTCAACATTGAAATATAACTATTTTCAAATAAAGCATATAAGAGAATGTAATATATGTGAACAGAGTAAAGCTATAATAATATATTTCATGTTTATGAAAAATAAATATAATAAATAAAATGTCCAATAATTAGTGCTGTTATATATTTTTAGTCCCTCAGTGAATTGATGACAGAAAAGCTAAAAAAAACTTCAGATCTCTTTTAAATATTTTTTATAGGGATTATTAAGTATAAAAACGATACATAACAAAAAACAAATGTCCATATTTAACTTGCCAGCTACTTGAAACCCAAAGTATTCTTCAAAAATTCTTATTATTGTCAGTTAAGCCGATACTAATACTGAGCTCACATTGTTAACCGGCTCGATTTTTAAAAATAGCTAGCCCAATATTTTAGCCAAAAAATATCATGCAAGCCTTGAAAAGTTAAATACATTGGAAGAAAAGTTTAGAACATCTTTCAAGGAAATCTCGAGGCTTGCGTAAAATTATTTTGACCAAGATCTTAATTTAAAATTGACGAAATCGAGGCGTTTAACAATATTATACTGGCCGACAAAGAAAGTATCAATCCCATATCTCTTTAAATAATATAATGGTGGAGACAAAATATTATCACATCGAAAAATTTAAATTATTGAAGAGTTTCAATACTGCGCAGACGATTTTTTAAACTTTACCAAAATTTCCTAAACTAATTTGAAGAATAAAAAAAAAGATGTTAATTTGATTTTGTGCGAATATTATTGACCATACTTGATAAAATTTAATTGACCTTATACCTCAGGACAAAATCTAAATTAATTTTAAAATATTTATATTATCATATAGATCATGTGTTCCTATTAATAAAATTTAAAAAAAAACTTGAAAAATAGGTTAAAATGGTTTGAGTATAACTATTTTCACTTAATATTTAAACTATATAATCATTTATATATAACATAATAATCAGAAATATTTATTTACAATACGAAGGAAATTGAGGAAGAACAAAAGAGTTGAAGCAATTATTTATCGGCATCCTATTAGCAAGGTGAAGAGGAAATCCAGGTGGCAGGGTTAAGTTCTGGAAGTTTTGAAGGTTATTGAAAGGCAAAGGGCTGGTTAGAGATTGTTGGTAAATCGTGTATTTCGTTTGAACCTTATTTTTTTAAGGTCAAATTTTTGCATCAAAAATTATAAATAAGGCTATGTCTAAACCCTTTTCCCCCAATCAATAATACATTAAAATACGCCTCATTGATTGAATAGAATGTTGCATGACAAAAGTTTAAAAAGAGGTTTGTATGGCCAATCATATTTCTAAAAATATTAAAACAATGAAATAGGACAAAGTTAAGAGTTTTTTTAAAAAATAATTAATTTTTGAATAGTAGCCAATAAAAAGAATAAAAAAAATTGGGTAAAAATTTTTAAAAAACATAAATATCTTGATTTACATTGATTCAAAAATAAAACTGCACATATCGGATCGGTGAAAAAATGATGAATCAGCATAATCCTAATTATGATATGTAGGTCTACAAAACCTGGTCTACTTATTACAGAAAGAAATGAAGTGTATTTATTAAAAAAGCAAAGGTAAAATACAACTATTTAAAATTTATTTAAAAAATCAAAAAAATTAATAAGAGCACTTTATTTCATATCAATTAAAATTTTTAGTACAATAAAAACGTCTTTTGTCTAACTTAGACATTGTCCAATTTATTAAGACATTTTCCAAAACAGAGTTGCCAAAACTATCAAGAGCCCAAGACAAGTTATATTGTATTGGCAAACTACTGAAACTGTAAGCATTGGCATGATGCCAATTCCATATATATATTTTAATTTAAAATAATTATCAGTTTTACTGTTTCAATCAGACTTTGAGCTAATTTTTTTGCTAATTCTAAACCATCTTTGGTGTTGTGCCTAATTATATAATAGTTTATATATATTATTCATAATCTACAGAATAAATTGAATAAAATAATTTTATTTTGATTAATAAAATATAATAAATATATTTGGGGTACTTAGAATTATCACCCATCATCAATAAGAGTTAAAAAATAAATTAAATCAAAATAAATGATAACTATAGGTATTTAATAATTTCAAATTATTAAAATTTTGAGATAATTTTAATTCAAAATTTATGTATATTATGATAAATATTTTTTACATGACATGTATATGAAGTGGCTCCCAAGCTTCTTTTCCAGATGCTGGTTCTAGAAACCCAGAGCCTTTACCTCTGACTGTAATAATAGCATTACTTTGCCTTCTTATATGGTCTAAATATGAATTCTAAAAGTGAAATATTGAGAACAATGTTAATTAGGAGTAGACAAATTTATTTTTGGACTATGTTGTTTTTAAATGCCCTGGTTATATAAATGTGTATATCCAAGAATTGGCAGAAGATAGACAGTAATTTATTAATAAATAACCAGATTAACAAAACTTTAAAAGAAGTTACCATACAAAAATATTTTAAGGGAGTTCTTTTTACAAATATAATCAGCCTATGATTTAAGGTTATGAGAATTTTTTGCCATTTAATAAATATTTGATTGACCAAATTCTAATACCTTTTAAAATAACTTTGTTTTTATAACATATTATATCAATATTCCAACATGAGCTGCCAATTTTAAGTAATACATTTATAATCAGGTCATTTGTGAATATTAGTATGGCCCTATTTAATTTAGTTTTAAGATGTAATATTTAAAAATAATATGTCACTAATTCTATTTACATTAGGTCCTTGAATATTTTCTTTAACTTGAAAAGAGGGATTTGCATGATCAAGTCCAATAAAAATTTTATCTTGTAAATAATGACCCTAATAGAATAAATAAATTCATTAATAAAATTTAAAGATTTTATATACAATTGGATATTGAGGGATTGCAGGTTTATTTAGCAAAAAATTTAGGTAACTTTTTGCTAATAAATTTGAAGGTTCTTTTATTAGGCTAACTATGCTAGCAGATTTAGGAGTCAACTGTTTGTTAACATAATTTATAATTTGGTTAAATTTTTGAATAGATGCTTAAAAACAATATAATTAGTTAGTATAAAATGGGAATATCTTTTACATAATAATTTATCCTTGTTTGTAGATATAATTTTAATTAGACAAAATTCTGAACTTGAGATTTCACTCTTATCAATACTAAAACAAAAATTAAATTTAAATCAAAAGTTGGAATACCTTTTCTGAGAATTGTTTATATTTAGAAAGTTAAATTGAACAAAATATTTCTCTTTAATCTATAAATAGGTATAATTAAGTTTATAATAGAAAATTAAAACTTCTTTAATAATTTCTTCATATGTGAGAATTTTTTTAGCCGCTAAATTCATATAACTTATATCTACATTACAAGAATATTGTTTTGTGAAATCTTCATAATTTATATCAGGTAAAAAATTATCCGATTCCTTTATTAATAAAAAAATATGAGAAATTAAAAAATTAATAACTTGATTCGTTTGATTTAACCTTCCTTTAGCTATTAATAAAGCATTAATTTTAGTAGCTACTTCAGTTGCAGTATTTATTTTTTTTAAATGATCATTTTCCATTTCATTAAGATTTAATAGAAAAATGCATTCATTCGAAAAAATTTGATCGTCTTGTTGGACGGCATAAATTTTTGTAATTTTTTTATAACATTCTTCTTATCTTCTAATCAAGCATAACCAAATCAAAAATGATTTTATTATCTATACATTAATGGCAAATAGTTTGGAAAAATGCAAATACCTCTTTTTAAATATTAATGTAAAAAATAGAAATAGATATTTATTTAAGTAAATAAAAAAAATATTAAATAACTTTGGCATTGGCGCTTAAACGACTCGATTAAATTTTAGTCACATTAACATTATGTTAGCCAGAAGATTTTGTTTCCTGAATGTTTGGACCTCTATTTGCCTTGTAATATTATAAAAGATTATAAAGACAAACCTATTTTACAACATTGGCAATTTCCGATGTTTACATAATATTATTTTGACTAAATCAGTCATGTCATTTTTATAAATCGACCATTAATCAGGCCGTTTTAAAATAATTATAGACAAGGACTACTTAACTTTATAATTTGCTCTATTATAAATAATTATTGTGATTATTATTTGTATCTTAAGTTTATAACAAATTCTTGAACAATTGTTTGTGAAAATTTATAAATTGATTAAAAATCTAATTTTAAAATTATTTAATATGAGTTTATAATTGATTGCGAATCTGGCGAGTCTTTAATTTCGATCAAACGAATTCGGCCTTAAATTCATAGATAAAAAATTTAAAATTCATATGGGGAATCAATTGACTTCAACAGCCCCTACACAACTATTTTCTATTGATAATTATTTAAATGACTTCCCAGATATTGAATTTGAGGATTTATTAGGTAGTTCAAGATTTTTTAAAGTAGCTAAAGCTAAACACAATGAAGGATTAATAACAATAAAAATATTTGTTGTCCAAAATTCTTTGATATCATTAAAGAAATACAAAGATGAAATAGATAAATTAAAAGTGATTGAATTTAATTCATTAATTTTTATTTCAAAATTTTAGACTAAGTTAGAAAATGTTCCTTGGTGCTTACCATTTCATCAAACTGTAATAGTTGAAAACAAAGCAGGATATTTAATTCGTCAATATACTAAATATAATCTATATGATCGCTTAAATACTCGGCCATTTTTATCCATATTTGAAAAAAAATGGATTACATTTCAAATATTATCTGCATTAGAATATTTACATACTCTAGGAATTTGTCATGGTGATTTAAAATGTGAAAATGTATGTTTTACAACTTTATATTTCATTATTATGTAAAGTTTATCTATCTTGATTATAAGGTTTTTTTAATTTAATTTCTTGAAATTTTTTTTATAAATTTTATTTTATACTTCTTTTTAAAAATATTATCAGAGACTTGCAGAAATTAAGCCTTGACCTGAAAAATATATTTTTTTTTTATATTCCCTTTGCCCCAATTTTATGCTTTCTTATTTTAAATATTTTTTGCCGTATTTTGTTAAATTCTTCTAAGATATATTAAAAATATAAATGGTATGAATTAGAGAGGTGCAAAAGTAGGCCCAGCCCATACATAGGGTTTTGGGTGGGCCAGGCCTAATATTTTTTTTAAAAAATTTGGGCCAGGTTGGGTCTTGAAATTTTTGTTAAATATATCTAAATTTTGTTGGATTTTTTATGTAAAATAAAAATATTTTATTTTATTTATAGAAACTAGATGCCATATAACATATATCATATATTTTTATTTAAATAAATTTGGAGTGGGGCCAGGAAATTTTCTTAAAATATATTTTGGGATCAGGCCAGGCTGGTAAATTTTTTATAAAACTTGGGCTCGGGCCGGGCCAGCAAAAATTTTTTAAAATAATTTTGGGCCAGGTCATGCTTGAAAAATTAGACCTAATGAGGATCACTAAAATAAATATTGGTGTAATTAAAGTTAAATCAGCCCAGAGTTTGTGAATTTTTTTAGTCTCACAGATTTTTCTAAATTATACCATTTTTAACTCAGGGTATATGACTAGGTTGGATATATGGCATAGGCCTGTGGGTCTCTGAAATATACTCCAGTATATAATTTAAAATTAAAAAGAGAAAGTATCAATAATAATAATAATAATTTAAATGAATAAACCTTTAATTTTTTTGTTTATTTATTAGTTAATTTAGTAACATTTATTCAATCAATCCAGTAAAAATGTACTACTTTTAATTCACATTCTTTATAATATATATGTACATATAAGAGTTTGAAATCTTCAAAAAAATTTTAAGCAAAAATCTTTGAAGAAGAGATATTTAAAAATTTTTTTATAGGCTGGTCCAGGGTATATTTAAAAAAAATTAAAATATGTCTTGACTAGCCTGTCTCTGTCTCTGATATAAATTTAAATATATCCAGGATAGATGAGTTTCACTCCATATAAAACCCTTATTTAACCATTGATAACACAATTTTCTAGGTGCTTTTGACAAGCTGGAATTGGGTTTTGATAACCGATTTTGCTCATTTTAAGCCCCTATGTCTGCCAGATGATAACCCTTCCGATTTTTCCTATTTCTTTGATGCGTCACGCCGTCGTACTTGCTACTTAGCCCCAGAACGATTCTTGTCCCCTTCAAAGCTGGGTAATAACAATAACAGTGTTTCTTACCTTGCCTCAATTTCCACTATTCAATCGCCGGATCTTGATTATGCTAATCATCTTGACTGTGTCATCAATAATGGTACCAAATATTATCGCCAAAGCTCAAGTGATGGACGAGTAATTTCATCGGTAAAAGGAATAAATTATCCATCAAACATCGCTAGACAAGCTATGTTTTGTAGTCATTTAATGATTAATTGACTAAAAATCGAGATTTTTTACCATTCTTATGAAACTTCATAGTTGGTTATATAAAGTCCAACTTAAATAATTATAAATTTTAAAGCTCAAGTTCAAATGGATCAGGAGTTATATGCTCTCATAATCCAATAAGGTGCGATCTCACTTTTCTGACAAACATTTAGTTCATATTTATAAATTATAATAATATTTTAACATTATATTTCTGATAAAATTAAAAATGAGTTATTTTTAGCAAGCTTCACTTTGGTATGATCGCTAGATATGTTTACTACCAATCCAATATATTTACGTAAGTATCAGTACGGAGAATTTTTTTTTTTTATAATTTTGGCAATAGTAAAAATAAATCTACATATAGAAGGCTCAATTTTCTTTTTAAGTATTAGTATCCTTTTTATGTATAATCATTCAATATTAAATCGGTTAAATATAGCTGAGGCCTGTAGAGGTAAACATTTAAACCCGATATGGCCGTGATTTATGAATATTTATATATTTCAAACCTGGTTTGACCCGGGTATATGAAAAATAACATGGACATTGAACTGAGCGTTCCGGACACTTTACGAGAACGAAATCTGGTAAAATTATCGAACGCGGACGATGATCCCGGAAACGTTTTCAAAACATTTCTGGAACATTCCGAAAAATGATACTAATTTTTTTTTGAACATAATTATATACAATGGTTCATTAAATATTCCTTTTTTTTTATTTCATAATTCTAGTTTACTTCACATAACAATATATAGTATTATTATGTGATTTTAAGAAAATTAAAATTATAGCTGTTTTTTTTGACACTTGAAATTTATATTAAACATCATCATACAAATATTGATATTTTTTTTTTTACAAAATGTCTTAGTGTAAAAAATTGTTGTAAAAATATAATATATAAAAAAATATATATTTTTTTAGGAATTCGTTTCCCAACGTTCCAAAACATGGAATAGGAACAGAATGCTATTTTTTGGCCATCGGGTCTCCGAAAAATAATATTTTAAACCCTATCTTCATAACAATTTATATTGATGTCCAAATAATTCTTAAAAGAGTAAATTTTTTAAAACATTGGTATCGGGTGTACACATTCTTGTGCTCATAATAGATAGCCTCGGAAAATTGTAATAAATACGTTTACAATATTGAATTGCTATAAAAAGAAAAAGAAAATTATTTTATATAATGATTATTTTACAATATAAAATGCCTATTTTTATGTAAAATTTTTTTTTAATTCCCACATATTTCTTAATGATAGTGCCCTCCAAAAATGAAATAATACTTTTTTTAAAACTTAAATATTTAAATATATTGATAAATAACCCTTATCCGGTGAGTGTTTCCATCCCCCATTAAGGGGCTATCTTAAAATAACTCATTTTTTAAATTTAACTGATCCGACATCGAAGAATTTTTTTAGCTCGTTTTGAGTCGATTTTTAAAAACAGCTAATAGTGCGCACAAACCTAGCGTTTCAAAACGCAAATAATACATTTTACATTCATTCGTTTAAATTGGACTCATTTTTTTTTTGTTTTAAATTTAGACGTTTCATATTAAAAAAAATTTAATGATTCAGACTGAATTCATAGTAAAGAGCGATTGCGATTTCGCCGTGATCGATCGCAGTGATTTTCATTCATAGTGCAAAGCGATATTATAAATTCAAAGTGGTAGCAATTTTCTATTTATTATTTTTTTACAGAATGATCTTAAAGAGAAGAAGATTAAACCCAGTTAATATTAATAAAACAAAAGAGGGCGAATTTTACGTCCTCTTCCCTAAACTATTGAATAATGAGCCTAAATTTTATAACTACATGAGAATGACCAAAGTAATTTTATTCTATTTTATCTATAATTCATTTTATTAGGAAACTTTTTATATATAGTAAAACATGTTAAACCTTTTTTACATACCAAATCTACAAATTTTATAAAACGTCCTATAAGTGTTGAAGAACAGCTTATGGTTTGTTTAAGGTAAAAATAAAGCTATTTATTATTTAAATATATTTATAATTTCGATATTTAGCAACAGGCTGTAGGTATCCTACCTTGGCCTATTCTTTCAAAATGGGTATATCTACTATCCAACAAATTATTAAGAGAACTCATTTTGAAAGAATAGGCCAAGGTAGGATACCTACAGCCTGTTGCTAAATATTTAAATAAAAAATATATTTAAATAATAAATAGCTTTATTTTTACCTTAAACAAACCATAAGCTGTTCTTCAACACTTATAGGACGTATAAAATTTGTAGATTTGGTAGTGGTAACGTAAGAAAGGTTTAACATGTTTTAGTATATAATAAAAAGTTTCCTAATAAAATGAATTTTAGATAAAATAGAATAAAATTACTCTGGTCATTCTCACTTAGTTATAAAATTTAGGCTCATTATTCAGTAGTTTAGGAAAGAGGACGTAAAATTCGCCCTCTTTTGTTTTATTATTATTAACTGGGTTTAATCTTCTTCTCTTTAAGATCATTCTGTAAAAAAATAATAATTTGAGAATTGCTACCTTTTTGAATTTATAATATCGCTTGCACTATGAATGAAAATCGCTGCGAAACGCAATCGCTCTTCACTATGAATTCAGGGTTAGTCATTTTTAAAAATCGGCTCAAATTCTAGCCGTTTAACAGCACTAATTTGTACTAAATATTTATCGAGCAATTTAAGATTCTTAAAACAGAGAAAGCTCTTATATATGACCTTGAGAGTCTATCCCACATTTGGGCTAGAGCTTTAAAATTTTGATTTATAATTGGACAACATATATAACCAACGCACCCAGTTAAACAATAAAAAAAATGGGGGTTGGTTCAAATCGATGGTCGATTTGACGTGGAATCACTCTTTGACAAATTGGTTCAAAATTTTATTTATAAAACTACAATTTTTTGATCCCCAATAGCTTTTCTTTGTATTATATTTTTTTATTAGTTCAAATTCGTTTTAGGAGACCAAGCCAAATATTAGTTTCCTTAAAATTTGTTGCTTCATTTTGATATTGGTTCTGCTTCTAACCCCAACTTACTTTGCATTCATAGTTAGCGCGAGTTCGCGGCGAATTATATAGAAATACAACATCCTTGGTATACTTCACCTGGAATTCGTGCTAACCGTGTATAAAAGGGAACCCCTCACTCACCGTTAGCTAGAATTCGTGGCAAATACAGCGTTATGCATCTAACAATCAATGAGGGGTAGGTAGAAAGAGAGAGAAAGAAAGTTCTAGATCAATTTTACAGAGGTGCCATATTTAAAAATAAACACGCTCATCTGGTTAACATTTTATTATAATAACGACTCCAGAAAAAGACATTTGTTTAAAAGTGTATCTTTGAGGTGTTTTTAAAAATGAAATTTCTTCTGTTCAAGCCGTGCAAAATCCGATATCGGACCAGACTTAGCTCAAAGAATGCACCGATATCAATTTTTGAAATTCTGTTCTGTTCTTTACAATATCAGCCAAAAGTGCAGCAGTTAGATTAGAACTCGAATACTACTCCATTTTGTTTGAATTTCGACCATTGAAAATTTTTTTATATTTTTGATGCATTTAAAAATTCCAAAAAAATATAAAACTTCTTGGTTTAAAATTTTTCACCTTACAAGGACTAAGACTATATGAAGATGACATATAATTTTGAATGGATGTTTAAATTAAAGATGGCATATCTATTAAATATAAAATACAATTTATAACTAACCCCTAGCACAGAAATACCTAGTTTGAATTGGTATCGTAACTTTAGAATATTTTGGGAAGGACAGCTTTGGGAAAGTGTTGACAGCTATAATTTACAATTACGGGTCACCCCCGTAATTTTACTTGATTAAATATTTAAATATTTAAATATTGCTTATTTTTCAAAAATTATATTAAATATAATCTAATAATTTACGTTAAACTCTTAAAAATAATAATTATATATTTTAATAACATAATAAAACTTTTATTTTTTATTAAAATGATTCCTAGTAAAATATAACAAACTAAAATATACTGTAATACGATTATATTTTATATAGTCGAGGCAAAGTAAATAACAAGAAAAAATTTTTATCCAGATCTTAACATTAGTTGCTTCATGTTCTTGGTTATAATTAATAAATTTATGGGAATGAATCTTATCAAACTAGTAAATCTAAAGAAGAAAGATCATACCTGAAAAAATATTTAGGAGAAGATTGTGATCTTTAAAAAATTAAATTTCTACCAAAAATGTCATCCTAAAGATTCGATTATTTAAATGAAATTTTTTAAATAATTTATCAATAAGTTTTTAAAGTTGGGCTCTTTCCTATTTTTCCTCTTAGATTCGATGAACACATTTTTAAGTCAGCCCTGCCCAGAATATCACATACTTCTATTTGAAATATAGCTTCTTTTTTTTCTAAAAAATATCGAAGAAGACTTCACACCAAGGTCGGTTTAATAAAATTCACAAGGAAATAACGCCTTCCATGGACGTATTTTCTGCTGGATGCCTCCTTATAGAATTCTTCTGTGATGGTACCCCACCTTTTCACCTTAGCCAATTGCTTTCGTATAGGACAGGGGATTTCTATCCTTCGCGGGTATTTTTATTTTTTTTATATTTATATAAATTAGTTATGAAATACATTATTGAACCATAAAAAATGTTTTAAAAACGTTTTCTAACAAAATCACGATCATAAAAATTTTTGGAAATATGACATGATGGACCAGGTTCTAAGCAAGATCCCGGACGCTTCATTACGCGAGACCCTGACCAAAATGATAAATATCGACGCCTCGTTAAGGCCTTCCGCCGAAGATTGTCGGAGACAATTGACAGAATCAGCATATTTCCCGAAATCTTTCTCATTTTTTGCCGATTATTTTAACGCTTTCAATCATTACATAGGGGACGTCAACGTTGCGCGATTAAAAAAGGATTTTTTGACCAATGATGGAAAGTTGTTAAAAGACTATAACAGGTTTCATTTAAAAAAAATATGAGATGAATTTACTAATCAACCGGGCCATCTAACTATTTTATTTATTATTATTATAATAATACATTGTTAATGCAATAATGGCGGTATAAAATATGTTCGCGGATTTATACAATTATATTTATTTTTATATGTATATGGTATGATTGACGTCTGAGGGAAAATTTTTGGGTGACAAGGGTCAAGGGGTAAAGCAATTTATTTCGTGTAATAATAAAATAATCGAAAAACAATTGTTTACAACTTGGCTTACCTATTTATAGGTATAGGACTTTATTTCTCCAGTCTCTGGGTTATGAGCTGGACTTGCACCCATTACAAGAACTTTTCCCCCTTAGACGTTTGACGTAGTTTAGCTGAATAGCTACCAAGGAGGGGTATTGCCTGTCCTTGTATAATTCTTCCTCCCCTTCTAGTAATTGACATATTAGTCTCAGGGGAGGGTTTTTGGTGGCTATTTAAGCTAATAATTTAAACGGTTTTTCGATGAATAATGAACAATTTATTTATTTATAATGTGTTAGTAATAATATTAGAAGAAAGGGTAAAAATATATGCGAGGGTCAATGTTCCTCGGGGCCGAACGTTCTTTGTTCCTCGTTGGCTAATAGGACAGACGATGCTATTGTTTCATCTGTATCCGTGAGGTTAAGGGTGTCCTCGAACATAGCGGGGTCGAAGTCCTGTTCCAGTGCCTCAATATTTGATACCTCCGGGAAAGCGAAAGGTTGGCCATCGATTTCTTCGTCCAATCTAATTGGGGTGGAGGCTCTCATGAACGGGAAAGCCTGATCAATTGGGGGTAGACCCTCCACATTGATATCGTGTAAAACGTTGTGGGCTTCCTCATTTCCTGTCCATGACCTGCTTGGTTGGTCCGCTAAGTTTTCTTCAGACGCTATCCAAGTCAGGTTTCGTGCTAGGTGGACGAAGTTTAGGAATCCGATGGCTAGCATGATTTTCGTCACTAGGAATTCGCAGGCCGGGGATCTCGATCCTCCTTTCTTGATGATTGTGTAGGCGACCTGGCTGTCAGTGACCAGGGCTGGGATTGTGCCGTATTTGTTTAGTGCATATTTACATCCCACCCATATGGCCAGGAGTTCTTTTTGGTTAATGTGATGGGTTATTTGGTCCGGTATTTCCAACGCATGTTTTGCCTCTTCAAAGGTAAAGGAAAATCGGTCTTCCACTCCGTCTGCGATTCCAATATGAGTTGATGAGGCATCCACGTGTATGATGGCGTTGATTGGGAAGGTAAACGGAAACGGCTTCATCAAGGCTTTTATTGCTGCTACTGCTTTGGGGTAGGCCTTGATATAGTCGATGGGTGGTGCCTCCTCTGTATTTAGCATCGTGTGGTAATAAGGCGCAAAGACTCTGGATAGCCCCGTTATCGAGTAGGTATAATGGTTTAGAATACCTAGTACTTCCAGTGCTATGTCACGTTCGATTGACATTGCCTGAAGGGTGTGCTTGTAGAGTACTAGTTGGCAAAACCTAAGTCTTGTTTTGTTGTCTTTGTCCACCGCCGCGGTCTTTTGCTGGAAATCTATGTCGATTCGCAGATAGCATATCTTTTCCGTCGGGATGGTGATGGATTTGGTGTGGTTCACTGTGAGGCCCCATTCCACTGCCAAGTTGAGGAAGGCTATGGTGTCTTGGAAGATGATATGTTCGTCGGCATGGAATATTATTACGTCATCTAGGTAGACTGAGTAGTTTGCTGTTTTGACTGATTTTGCGCAGAGGTCCAGAACGATATTTTGAAGCGCATATGGGGAAAAACCCGCTCCCATCGGTAGGGTTTTGTATCTATACTTGTTGTTAGCTGTAGCGAATCCGAAGAATCGACGTCTACTTTGGGCTAAAGGAATGGAGTAGAACGCAGATTTTAGGTCTATTTTGGTGGCTTTTCTTGCCCCTGCCAACATAGGCGCGATCATCGGGATTGTCTTCAGCTTGAAGGGATATTTGATGAAATTTTTGGAGACATTGGAGAAGTCGGAAATGACCCTCGGGGTCCCGTCTGCTTTGGGAATTAGAAACAGCGGTGAACAGAAGGTCGTATCCGTTTGCTCTATGACTCCCCCTTCTACTAGCTGGTTGACGATCGGCATGTATTTGGTGGCTAGCCTGATAAATCTGTTTCTAAAGAAGCCTCCATTTCCTGCTATAGCTTGATTATCGAACTTTGGGCAGAAACCCCTAATAGCGATCTTTCTAGTGAAGGAGGATTGGAGGGGGTGCGGCTTCAATGTGACCATGGACAGGTCCAATCGGGCTTGGAGATTGAGCTCGGCTCCATCCGTTGTGTCTATGCCCATGAGTCTAAGCAGCCTGTGAAACCGGCCGATCGTAGCGCTATCTACCGTCGGCGCAGACGGGGGAAGAATAGCTGCACTGTAAGGCGATATCCTATTTGAGAATATATTGGCCATTATGATCGGCTCTCCGTTAACGTCGAATTGCTCGGTTATGGGTAAGTCGACGCTAGAAGTTTCACTATTGTCCTCCTCCAATTCATCCCCATCAGCTGGTTCCGCGTCGGATATCGCCCCTCCTGGCGAAAACTTCTGGCGCCTCACGTCCCGGATCCAACGTTTGATTTGTTGTTCGCCGATTTCCGAGATGCAGGTATCCGCCCAGGGCGCTAGAGCCTCCGCGATCCCGAAATCTAGTGCTGATGGTGGCAGGTTATTCATAATTTCACCGACGGTTGGACGGCTTCTTCCCTCGTTGAGGGAAGCCGCCCTTTGAGACCGTATCGGAAATCTCAATGACGTCATCATCGTGCGTTGCGGCGAACTTGTCTCTCCCGGTTCCCCCTGCCTTTCTGCCGCTTGATGAGGCGGGGGTAGTACGAAAGGGCTGGAGGTTGGGCATTGGTGGCATTCCTCCTACGAATTTACATAAATTGTTTTGTGATTCGAAACGGATTTGTTCCCAACCCCATGCACATGACTTTGCGTAGATTTGCGCTTTTGCCGCAACGTCTCTTAGGAATTCAATTGATGAGTTGAGGCTCATTTCTTTGACGTATAGCTTGAGCGAGGGGAATTCGTGGGCATCTCTTCCTTTCAGCTGATAGCCGGGGGCTCTTTCGGCAAGGGATATGGCATTTCGGAAGTGACGGGCAATCCTTATTAATTTAGCCTTGTCTGTTTCTGCCATGATATTGAGGGTTTTGATCTCCTCTTCCGATAATAGGAATTCCACAGAATTTTCAGGTCCATCCAATGGCACTTGCGGTACATCTACCATTGTAAATTTATTAATGTTACTTGGTCCTGCTGTATTTAAATTGTGATTGGGCGATCCTCCGATGATGGGAGTCTTAGAATCTCGGTTGGAGTCCATCAGACTTAGGAGCCTTGTAATGTGGTCCGTGGCACTGGTTAGTTGCGCCTTTATGTTGGCCATTTCATTAGCATTAGCTCTCTGGCCGTCTAGCATTAGATTTTTGACCCAGCAATAAAAGCCTTGATGAAGCCGTTTCCGTTTACCTTCCCAATCAACGCCATCATACACGTGGATGCCTCATCAACTCATATTGGAATCGCAGACGGAGTGGAAGACCGATTTTCCTTTACCTTTGAAGAGGCAAAACATGCGTTGGAAATACCGGACCAAACCACCCATCACATTAACCAAAAAGAACTCCTGGCCATATGGGTGGGATGTAAATATGCACTAAACAAATACGGCACAATCCCAGCCCTGGTCACTGACAGCCAGGTCGCCTACACAATCATCAAGAAAGGAGGATCGAGATCCCCGGCCTGCGAATTCCTAGTGACGAAAATCATGCTAGCCATCGGATTCCTAAACTTCGTCCACCTAGCACGAAACCTGACTTGGATAGCGTCTGAAGAAAACTTAGCGGACCAACCAAGCAGGTCATGGACAGGAAATGAGGAAGCCCACAACGTTTTACACGATATCAATGTGGAGGGTCTACCCCCAATTGATCAGGCTTTCCCGTTCATGAGAGCCTCCACCCCAATTAGATTGGACGAAGAAATCGATGGCCAACCTTTCGCTTTCCCGGAGGTATCAAATATTGAGGCACTGGAACAGGACTTCGACCCCGCTATGTTCGAGGACACCCTTAACCTCACGGATACAGATGAAACAATAGCATCGTCTGTCCTATTAGCCAACGAGGAACAAAGAACGTTCGGCCCCGAGGAACATTGACCCTCGCATATAATTTTACCCTTTCTTCTAATATTATTACTAACACATTATAAATAAATAAATTGTTCATTATTCATCGAAAAACCGTTTAAATTATTAGCTTAAATAGCCACCAAAAACCCTCCCCTGAGACTAATATGTCAATTACTAGAAGGGGAGGAAGAATTATACAAGGACAGGCAATACCCCTCCTTGGTAGCTATTCAGCTAAACTACGTCAAACGTCTAAGGGGGAAAAGTTCTTGTAATGGGTGCAAGTCCAGCTCATAACCCAGAGACTGGAGAAATAAAGTACAAGAACAGGCACAGCCCCTTCCTTGGTAGCTATTCAGCTAAACTACGTCAAACGTCTAAGGGGGAAAAGTTCTGTAATGGGTGCAAGTCCAGCTCATAACCCAGAGACTGGAGAAATAAAGTCCTATACCTATAAATAGGTAAGCCAAGTTGTAAACAATTGTTTTTCGATTATTTTATTATTACACGAAATAAATTGCTTTACCCCTTGACCCTTGTCACCCAAAAATTTTCCCTCAGACGTCAATCATACCCTATACATATAAAAATAAATATAATTGTATAAATCCGCGAACATATTTTATACCGCCATTATTGCATTAACAATGTATTATTATAATAATAATAAATAAAATAGTTAGATGGCCCGGCGTGGCCTCAGGGCTCTCCAGCACTTTTAAACATCAGGGGTCATAACTTTTAGGGTAGAATTTCCACGACCTTCCAAATAAATTTCGCCCCTAAATAAATTCAAGTAATTAAATGAAAGAGTACTGTTGACATATACAATACGTCCAGATTATATTAAAAAACAGTAATATAACACTCATTCTTGATATATTATATTGACCTTAACCTACTTTGCCATTCTAATCCTTACCTTTTTTGATGAGATTGATTTCAGAAGTTAAAAAATATACCGAAATGGGATCGAACCAGCGTGACGTTATTGTTCCCAGGGTATCTAACCTCTGAGCCCTTCTTAAATTGTAAACGTCCAAAATAATTTATTATCTTTTTTTCCTGTTTCTCTCAATTCAATCACTCAAAGTTTGACACCGAATGCCGCTCTGACAGAATGTGAAATAATTCTATTGACTCAGTATCTGCTTTCCACTTTGGATCCTCCTTTCCTGAACAATAAAGATTTTTGCGATATCGATCTCCCCGAAAAGCATTCCTCGTTCTGTTTGGGGGGCCTCAAGTTTCAACAATCTTATCTCGATGCTCTGGATATAATGACACATTTACTCTGCGATACCCCGCTTCTCTCGGACACAAACGTTGACGTTAATAACCAAAATGATTCAGATAATAAGAGTAAAACTGATGATTCCGCAACTATCATTTTGTTAGAAGAAAGCAAATCTAACGAAAATATGGATCGAACATACCTCATATACGATAGAGTGATACCTAACTTGCTCCATTTGATAACCGCTACGGGTTCTAGCGATAAGGTCAGAATCAGGGCTCTCGAGGCTATGGCTAAGATCCTCGAATTGTTGAGCACTTTAAATGGTGAATTTTTTATATATTACTTACATAAACCCTTGATTATCTCGTACGATCCTTATTTTATTTATTTCGTATTTTAGACCGACCCGAAAGCCACGTAAATGGGGATTTGGAGAATGCCAACATTTTTTTGGACTACATTTTACCAAAACTGAGCTTCGCTATGAGCTCCAGTATGCATTTACCTTAATTTTAATAATTGTAATAATTAGAATAGAAGTTTTTTTTATTATCAATGAAAATATTGATTACATCACATCAACCGACTTATATAGTGAGCGAGGCTGTGGGATGCTATAGATATCCTCGAGGGAAGATATTTGCCACCCTTTTAGTTCCCCAAAAAGCTGAGATATGCGGTGAATCTCTTCATAATCCCCCCGTTAATTTTATTGAAGCTTCCCCCCCCCCTCCCTCCATAAGAAAATGTTAGATACGTCTATGCTTACAAGCAATAATTATAATTGAATAAATAATGGTTGCCCAATCAATATGTAAATATAAACTAGATTCAAACTTGGGCCACGATACAATAATTTCCCTCAAAATGGCAATGGTGAAACACATATCCACTTTTTCTCAAGTGGCATCCTCCCTCTGGGATAACTTTTACCTCAACGATAATAGTGAGTTTTCCAATAGGGACGCCCACCGCGGATTTCGCAAGAGTACAGAGTCTAATAATGTGTCATCTAAAATTAGCTGGGAAATTTATAACAAAGTAATAAACTCGTATATTTTATAAAATGTTATCACATTTTTCTTTTTTAAAAAAAAGCTCAATTCACTTCTCGTAGATCGTTTCAGAGATCTCCTAGTGCACAGGCTTTTAGAAGATCAGCCACCCATTCTTCCCCTTCCTTTTTCATCCCTCCCTAGCCCAGCTGCTCTGGTTAAACGTTCTCTGTTGATTTATTCCATCCCTGGTCTTTCTACATTTTTTGGACATAAAGGTTCTAGAGAGGTAATTTTATAATAACGTTATCTTTGAAAAAAAATAATATGTTTGATAAGTTTTGAAAACAAGATATTGAGGGAAGAAAGAATAGAAAGAAAAACTTTCTATTTATTGGATTATGATGTGCTTGCCTTTAGTAATATATATATGCTACAGTTAATATTCAAATTTACCTATTTTACAAACTAGCTAGCTACAGGTTTAGTAAGTTTGCAATAAAACTAGCAAGCTTAACAAACTAGCGTGCTATTTACAAACTTGTTAGCTAATTTTTTTAATTTTTTTTATGACCCCCTCCCCCTCATATTTTTGGAGTATTTTATATATATTTTTAATTTTTTTCCCTCTCTTTCTATTAATATACCTCTGTATATAATTGATCTTCCCAAATTTTTATTACATTATTTTAAAATACGTCATATGGAAAGTGATATCATTTTATGGTGGTTAAACATGGGCAATGAAAGTTGGTACACGAACTAAATTGGAAAGAACGGGGATGAGAATGGTTATATGAATGTGTAAAGGTATTTATAAGAGAGAGAAAAACAAAGGAATTGGGAGTAAGGATTGGAAACAGGGACCTAGCCCTAAGCCCAGGTACACAGATCGGGGCGTATTTAAATTTTTTTTAAATATACCCGGGTCGGGCCATATATTTTAAATCTCCATTATTAGCTATAAAAATTAAAAATAAATGTAATATAAAAAAATTCAGGTGTCAAAAAATTTTTTTGAAAAAAAAATCCTTGCTGGGATAACCCAGGTCAGGCCGGAAAATTTTTTTTTCAAAAATAGTAAGGCTGGGTCGAACAAATACCTTTGTAGGCCTCTGATTGGAATAGAAGAGATGGAATGGTGATGAGAAGATATTTACTGAGATGGTTAGGGCATGTTGAACAAAGGATGACGGAGATGCACCACGATGAAGTAAGTGGGATGATCAAGGCATCGGAAAAGATCCAAGACGCCTTAGAAGAAAATGACTACGGAGGACGTAAGAAAAATGGACCCTTAAATATGATACCCTGGACCGTAAAATATGGAGAAGGGGGGGGGTCAGAGGAGTAACTGGTTTGTCTGAGTAAATTTGGTACACCACCATACATAGTAAGAAGGAAATTTTGATATTTAATTTAACTGAATTTATTTTTCATCTGTTTTAATGTAGATAGATCATAATAAGTCATCTCGTAACAAATTTTTAGAGCCACCTTGAGCCATCTTAAGGCTATAAAATCATTTCTTTTTTACAATTAATGCTAACTCATTTCTTGGTTTACTCTTTATTTATTACTAAATCGGGAATTCAAATTCAAACAAAATGAAAATACAAATTGTTACATAAATTTTTTTTAAAAAAAATGTGATAAAACGAAAACTCGAAAATTATTTGAAAATTAAGTTAAATTTTTTTTAGCGGAAATGAATATAGTCCTTAGAGGTCTGCATTGGATGGGTTTTTGGACCAAAAGCCACCCATCCAATATTTAAAAAAATATAACCCGCCCACCCAGCCCACCCATAGTTTTCAAAAAATATATACCCGCCCGCCCCGCCCATTTTTCTAAAATTTCTAACCCGCCCGACCGCCCTTTAGTCTAAAATTTTTTACCCGCCCGTCCATTATTTTTAAAAAATTTTTAACCCAAGCCCGCTAATAAAATTTAATTATGGTTATTCTTTCATGCTTCTAATAAAAATATTTCAGCATTACACCTTACAAAAAGTTTATAATTTAGAAAATTAATATAAGTATAAAAATAATCAATGTAAATTATGGACAACTTATTTGATCAAATTGAATATTTATGAAAAAATATAAATGTAAAATTAATATTGATTATAATGCAAAAATAATAATGAATCGACATTTTCTGGATTCAAACACGTTCTTCTTTGTTCTAAAAATCTTCCTGCAATGCTAAATCCGCGTTCGGAAGAAGCACTAGTTGCAGAAATCGCCAATATTTTTCTTGCTCATCTTGATAGCTTTGGCAAATCTCTTTCATGTCGTTTCCACCAAAGTAGGATATCCGTTTGAAGTATATCCTCTTCCTCAAACCCTTTCGGTCGCGGTAGTGCAAATATAAAACCACCTTTTAACCTTTATATCTTTTAAAGGAGTTGATCATATAAAATAAAACCACCACGAATATATATTAAAAGATATTCTTTTTCATATGTTTGTGGAGGAGTTATTTTTTAATTTTTTTTTTCGCGCCTTTATTTCAAAATACGTTTTTTACGGTGATTTTTCTTAAAATTCCAATTTTAATTATAAGTAATTATATTTATCAAATATTTTTAAATATATATATTCCTCACTATTTTATCTATCTTTCTAATATTTATTTTTGCTCAAATAAATAATATTTATATATTATTTTGATCTTTTTAATGTGGTATATTAAACTAACCACTGCCACTTAACAACAATATTTTTAATATTTATTTTTTTAAATAATTGATAAATTTTGCCAACTCATTTCGCAATAATTTTAGCTTGTTATATATATGGATGATTATCTGGACATTCCATCTGAAGGTTCTTCGTTAGACAACTCATCCACTGATTCCGAAGATGATTATGAATCGGATACACGTTACCAAATTGATAGTGATGATTATGAATCGGATACACCTTATCAAATTGAAATTGATGACAATTCTGAACAAGATGCGTATGATCAATCTGCTACAAACCATAATAATCCTATCTGGTCCAAGAAATATTCTTCACAACCAGCATTAGAATTTGATAAAATATCAGGTCCAATATCATCTTTAAAAACGGACCCATTGTATCCATCAGATATATATAAGAAATTTATTAATGATTCTCTAATAAATACAATTACATTCAATACCAATTTATATGCCCAACAAAAAAATATTAAATATCAACCAACTAATCCTACAGAAATAAGAAAATTTTTATGTCTTCATATACTCTTTGGAATTAAAACTATGGCAAATTACAAAGATTATTGGAGTTCTAAACCAGAATTCCATGACAATTTTGTTTCATCCATAATGAAAGTAAAACGTTTTATTTGGCTTATGGCCCACATCCATATAAATGACAATATCTTAGAACCATCGAGAAATGATGAAAATTATGATAAATTATACAAAATAAGACCATTCATTGATAATATCCGTTCCTCTTGCTTGAAATATTTTCTTCCCTCGGAATATCAAGCAATTGACGAAGGAATGATTAGGTTCAAAGGCCGTATAGGATTTAGGCAATACATGCCTAAGAAACCCACGAAACGCGGTTTCAAGGTAATGTGTAAATTTTGTCATTATTTATTTCGGCTAAACTATATTTTTAGGTTTGGATGAGATGCGATAATTCAGGATATATGAATGATTTTAATATCTATGTTGGGAAAAATAAAGAGGTTGAAAGTAATCTTGGTTATAATGTTGTAACAAAGTTTTGTGAAGGACTTCAAAATCATAAAATATTTTTCGATAATTATTTTACGAGTTATACTCTAATGGCCGATTTAAAAAAGAAAGGTATATATGCTAGCGGAACACTAAACAAAAATAGGAGATACTTGCCCATAAAGAATATGGAAACAAAATTAAAAAGAGGTGAGTTTGACTGGAGAAGTGACAAAAATAATATAAGTATAATTAAATGGCGAGATAATCGTGACGTATTTATAATGTCCAATTATATTGATCCGAGATCAGTGGATACTGTGAAGAGAAAAAATAAAAAAGGGGAAGTTTTTGACGTAAAATGTCCAATAATGATAAAGATGTATAATAAATATATGGGGTCTGTTGACCATTTCGACCATTTAAAGTCTTTATATGAAATTTCGCGAAAGTGGCGAAAATGGTGGCTACCAATATTCTTTTGGCTGATAGATGCGGCGATTATCAATTCATTCATAATATACAATATTCTTACAGATAATAAACTCTCATCGAAAGAATTCCGAAGACAAATAATTGCTAGCGAATTGGCATACTGTAAAAATGTTAATAGGGATGATAATATTCATAATGATAATAATTATATATCAATGCAAAGAAAAAATAATAAACCTTATATCCTTCCAGAAATTAGACTAAAAAATTCAGCTCATCAACCTCAGGCAGGAACCTCACGAAGGTGTACCTTCTGTAGTACAAAGTTAAATCCCAGAAGAACAAGGTGGTCGTGCAAATCATGCAACGTACCACTCTGTCTAAATAAAAATAGAAATTGTTTTGAAAGTTTCCATAAGGTGTCAATGATATGAATTTAAAACCACCAGGGAGAGCCGCCATTTTGAATTTAAAAAACTTTTTTTGTGTGTTTTATATTATATTATATTAGAATCAATAAAAAAATTAGTAAATATCGTGTTGCATCATATTAATTTTATGAGGGAACCTAAAGGGTTAAATAAAAGTGAAACCAATAATAATAAATTTAATAAAGTAATTTAAAATTTAAATTAATTATAATAAATTTTGCTAAATTATACATATCAAAACTGGTTACTTTAAGATATTACATTCCCATAAAAGGAAATTTTTAATAGACAAAAATGTTTATTTATTCTAAGAAAAAAGTTTTATTGTTGTGTTTATTACATAATATAGTTAGGTAAATATTCTTCATTTAAAAAAAAACGATTGGTACAATAAAAAAGAAATATTGTTATAGATCATTTAAATAATTATTTTTTAGTTTGTTTTTGAACAAAAATGTTAAATTTCCTTAACCCGCCCGCCCGCCCGCCCGTTGTTTAAATTACTTAACCCGCCCGCCCACCCCGCCCATAGTTTCAAATTTTTTAACCCGCCCGCCTGCCCATCAAAAATTTTTTTACCCGCCCATCCGCCCGCCCAATGCAGACCTCTAATAGTTCTATCAAAATGAAGATAGATAGGTTTAAAAAAAATACAAAAATTAAGAAAAAAAATGATATTCTTTTTCGTCGTTTAGTGACTCTTTCCCAGGTTTACTCTTCTGTTCTCCATTTTACACGATCTTGGAACATCGTCCCCAGGTCAAACCTAAGGTTTTCAAGTCATACTATATCTCTTTCATCTAACTTGTCTTTGGTTGCCCTCTGCAATAAATAAGTAATTCCTCTAACTAGTTTATGAATTAGTCAGTCTAACTTTTAAAATACCCGAGCCCACTTTTGTATATTAGCTATAACATGTATATGTCGTACGTAGGGTATATTGGGATCTTTATACATTGAAATCATTTACAACGCCCATTTTGTAATTTTCAAGACACCCTGATTTTTTTTTCTTCTAAAATCAAATTACATGACAAAATTTTGCGAAATTCATAAAGTAAGTTATTCTATACACATGAAGATGAATTGAATACAATTCCGGCACTAGTATGCAAAATCGCTCCATTCGAGCCGATTTAAAAAAAGGGCTAACTCAGTATTTTAGCCAAAAAATATTACGCAAGCCTGATGATTTTTCTCATAAATGGCACGAAGTTTTGGACATCAACCAATCTCGAGGCTTCGGCAATATTTTTCTGGCTAAAATATTGAGTTAGCCGTTTTTAAAAATCCGCTCAAACGGAAAGATTTTGTATCACACTATCCGGCACATTCAAGTTTTAAGTTTTTTTTTAAAAATCACTATAAATGATCGAAATGTTAAAAATTCTAATATTCCCTGAAATTCAATATTCTTATAAGTTGGATTGCTAAATTGGGGATGAGGTGATGACAAATTTTTTAAAATTTGAACAAATGATGAATAATGTAAAAATAAAATAAACAATTTTAAATCTTAAGATTGTTTTCCTGTCTACCTTAAACTTTCATTCTTATTAAAAAAATAATATACAGGTTCTCTTATCCCATTCTGTCACGTTTCTCAATGACAAAGCTGGGCCGTCATTGAGGGCTCAATTTTTCTCCTCCCTTCCCTCTCTCTTTCTGGGTTCGGCTAGTTTTCACAGCAAGGGGGGAGAAATAGCTCCGGCACTCGTTAGGCAAGGTACCAGAGACCCGGAGGAGAGCGTCCTTATCAAAGCTATCGAAGCGGCCAACACGCTTATAAGAATCCGTATCTTAGAAGTAATATATGGCGTGCGCCATTTTTTATATCAGAGAAAGAGAAGCACCTATGCCATCCTGTTAACTCCAATACCAACACGGTATCGGCTCAGATACTTGTGTACAGATATAGATAAACTTTGATAGGCCGATATCTATACCGATATTAAAAATAATAATTGTAGTATATTTATTAAATCGGTTAAAATTTAAAGTATAACATATCGATAATCTCTTTATTATATACATCTAATGAGGGGGGGGGGGTAGGTAAAGAAATATTTTGAAATTATCGTCTGCTAGAATTTATTCTTAAATATGAAGGACTTCATTTTTCAAAATTTCGGCGGAAATAAATTGCGTGTCAACGCTTTCTGCATTTAAAATATATATAATATTTATTATTTAGTAAGTATTAATTGTGAAAAATCATTATTCATTTTTTTTTTCAAAAAAAATCTCATATTTTGTATCAGCCTAAACTAGCATTTCACTTAATTCCCGACCTCTTACCCTTCTTGTTACACCCGAACCTACGCGTCAGAAGGGGCGTGTGCGGTTGTATCGAGAGCTTGGTGAAAACCTGCGAACTCGTTGATGTTTACGTCAAATTGATCCCTCTACTTAACCCTTATCTTAAACGATGTTCTTTGAAGGTTTTGTTTTATTTTTATATGTACAAATATATTAGTACATTATATTCATTTAACAGATAAAATTTTGGCAGCTTTTTTTCCTGTTTATATCATATTTAAACTTATTTTAGGGGATAGAAGAATAATTTACCTTTTTTTCATATTAATCTCTGTAATTTAAAATAAAATTACAAAATTATCACTATTTCGCGAAATGATATTTTATAATAGATTTTAAAAGTTACCTTTTTGGTTCATCATGTTTTAAAATTGTATTAGCGCACAAAATTAGGATTATTTCGCGGAAGGTTGGGCCAGGCTTTATGGGATAAGTTCTAAATTACTAAAACAAAAATCGCTAAAAATTGGGAAATATCTCCTAGAAAATTTTTAAAGTAAATTTGAAATTAATATTAATTCAAATTGGGAGCAATGATAATATTTCCTCTATACTCAATTTAAATACGAGTGTTTACTCCCCTAGCATCTATTAATATTAATTTCAAATTTACTTTAAAAATTTCCTAGAAGATGTATGCAAGATTCTCAATTTTTAGCGATTTATAACGGGAACCGGCCTTATATAACACATTTTATTTTTCAAGCTTAATTATATTTGAAAAATTGAAAAGCTCGAATCAGAGGAGTTAATTTTCAAGAATTTAAAAGAACCAATCACGAGAAGCTTATTCAATTTCGTTCTTCAGAGCCGCGACAAGGCAACCCTATTTGCTTCCATTGAAAGGGACGTGCAATTATTTTATAAAATCGAAAACGAAGTGAATGGTAAAAAAATCTAATTTGTCAAATTTTCAGAGTTGTTAAGTATCTAGATACAAAATGTCGCATGTGTATTTAGATACACGGATATATATCTAGATACTATCTTAGAGGTATCTGTTATTAGATACTTTCTAAGATACATTTTGATTTAAAATAATTTTATCGCTAACTTTTAATGAATAAATTATGAGCTTAATGTAAAAAAAATTTTAAAAAATAAATGCTCGTTTTAAATGAGAATTTGTTTGAAAGAACGATAGAAATAGGGGTATTTGCATTTTTTTATATGGTCTTCGAATTGAATGTGGACAAAATATTAAAATATTATTTACTTATTTTGTGCTCTCATAATAAGAATTTATATTTGAGAACAACATCGAACCCTGTATGTAAGTATGATATTTTGTATCTTTATCTAGATAAGTTTTAAACGATGTATCTGTATCTAGATCATTTTAGACGATGCATCTCTATCTAGATCCATTTAAAAAGTATTTTTTTAACAACTGTTAATTTTAATACCATTTTTAAGAGTCAAGTTTATTCGACCTTCTTTAAAGGAAATGAAAGGAGGGAAGCAAGAATAAAAGAATTAAGTTTGGTAATTGTATTTAATAACAAACTCTCCGAAGATGCTACTAAATTGGATGGGTAAATTTGGACTCTGAATAGAGGTCTCAAACGCGTGACGGAGAAAATCCGTTAACATTAAGGCGTTTTAATTTATATTAGTTTCTTTCAAATTTGAGCTGCTATATTTTTTAAAAAAAAACCGAGCCCGAAGAAGTGAAAGTTTTCTGGTAAAAAGTATGTTGACCGATTTTTTAACTTGTAAAAATTGGTTAAAAATATAGTAATTACCCAACTACACTAGAGGAAACATAAAATAATGTATTCAGGATTTTTTTTCCTTCAGTTTGGAACTTAGTATTTTTTAAATATTGATTTCAATTTTTTACCTTCATAGATTCTTTATTGGCTCGAATGGCCTGCATCTTGTTATCCCACTTAGATGCTACTTGTTACGACGCTTATTACAGGTGGAGAATGGACTATTTTGGGGACAAGGAGTTAAGTGACGAGAATTGTAGATGGCGTAAAATAAAGGCCATAGATGCCGACCAGGTAATGTCAAAATTGTTTGTTTATAATACCTATTAAAAAAAATTTTACTCTAATATTGACTTCCAATAGTCTAAATTTCACTTTTTCCGTTGCATTTAAAAATTCATCCACGACCTTGAATGTTTAAACGAGAAAATCGAGTAAAATTTAGTGGGCATTTTAAAATGGCTGATTGAACCAACCCTCAGAGCAGACGAATTGCTACGATCGAGAAAAGTCTTATTAATTCTGTCATTTAATTTAGATTACGAAAATCAAAGTACTATGACTTACGATATGTAAGGACTTTCAGTAAGAAAATAATTTGGCACTGCACTGACGAGCTCTCGCAATTTTTTTGTTTATTAGATCCTATGGACGATATTATACCACTAATCCCGAACCGGTTTATCAGAAGCCCAGATCGGTTTTTTTAAAATAATATTGTTTTACCACCTGGGCCGAATTTCGGGCACAGGCCTCAAGTTGAACGTACTTTAGGGAGTTAACGAATTCTTTAAATAATTAATGATTCTCGCATATATATATTATGCCCCCAAACTCGATTTACTAAATTTCAATAATAAATTATTTTTTAAAATTTTAACTTTGGGCGCACGCACCACCCTAAATACTTGGTAAAAATTTTAAATTTTTTTTCACCTTCCCCCAGACCATTTCGAAACTAATGGCAATGGGTTATCGGCCCGAGGATGGGCCGAAGCTATTGCTCTTAGAGTCTAGCATCGTCAAAATAAGTGATTACTATTGCCCATCCCTGATTACCCCCAAAACGCACGCGTTACGCAAAAATGAAAACGTAGAAGCCTCCTCTAATCTGGTTCATTTATCGCATAACAAAAGCGTCCACAAATTGAACATCGATAAAAAACCTGGAACTAACGTCAAAAAGGGTTATATAAATTATTTTAATAAACGTAATTAATAACTTTATTTCATAGTTTTCTATTATTATATTTTTTTTTCTAAGAGATGACTTTGAGTGACTTGTTACGAATTCCTATACACATGTCAGTCCTGGTGTGATATGTTCATTAATTAGGATTTTTTTTAAAAAAAAGATCTGGGTGAAGGATCATTTGAAAATATTTATTTAATTCATAACTTGATTTATTTAGGACTTAATTATAAAAAAAAGAAAAAATTCTATAGGGATTCAAATAAATCACATGATTAATCTTTTAAAATAGTATTGAAACCCAAAACGAACCAAGTTTATCAAATAATAATAATAATAATAAACTATACGCGTATTCATATTTAAATGATATTTTATGAGTATAAAAGTAATTTAACGAATATGAATACATTTTACTTTTTTCCCTTAATGCTAAAAATATTGTATCGTTTTCGATAAATTCTTGTTATATGCCACTGAGAGTAATTATTATACCCCCATTAATTTTAAATTTAATAAAAGTTTACTTAATAAAATAGCAATATATCGAATAATGGCGAAAATTTAATTATTTGCCAGTTCGCTCTCCCGGTCAAGATTATTTATCAAATGAATGAAAGCTTAGTCCATACTCTTTTTTTCAAATAGTATCGTTTTTTTCAATGAAATACACCATATGATTAAAAAACAAGTTATATTATATATACAGTATTAATAACTTTAATTGTGATACTGGCACAGAAGAAAGTGTATCACCCAACTGTATCCGGTCGATAAACCAAACTTCCGACAAGGCACCTATTTTCAACGCAAATATATACGTTCCTCTTTTAAAAAACGGTTTTAATATTTTTTTCTCTCTTTCCTTTCTTTAAATTATTATTGTATGGAGCAGAGCAAATCGATTAATTAAATTCAAAATCATTTTTGATAATATCACTATATTAAAGCATGATTAATTCTAAAAATCCTGACAAGTTTCTCCCGTAGAATCTGCCAAGATTTGATTTACTAAATTGTAAGTAAATCGTCACTTTTTTTTAATAGCTGGATTGGTTCTAAAAATTTGTTTTATCCTGAAGGTCTCAGGTTTGAGTTAAGATTTAAGCAATTTTTTGTTGTTGCGAAACCAATTTGATATTATACGCAGAGTCCACTCAGTAAATTCCTAACTCATCGTTTAAAACACTCGATGCATAAGATGGCTAGCTGGCAGACGCTATTCTCTTACAGTCAAAATACCCCCCCCCCCCCCACCTCCTACTTCCTTATTTCGAAATATTTTAATTCTTTGAAGCAGCTTCCAAGATAAATAACGAGATAAAGCTCACGACCATCAATCCAAATTACGAAACATCGTTTATCAAAGAACCCGCCGACCCATCGGCTGTTTGCGATATTTGTAACGCCTCCTATAAACTCGCGAATTTCGATTATTCTTGCAATACTAAACCCACTTTTTACCTGAAGTCTCCCGCCACGCCCGGTCCACCTACAAATGGCGATTGGAAAAGTGACGTTAAAAACGTAACTAATTACGCCGATAATAACTGTTGTTGGCACGCGTGCTATTCGAGGGGACCAGTACTAAGGTTCTTTAAAAACATTTTCCTCTAAAATATATGAGTCTTATATCAATTGAACTTTCCCAACTTTTCTTCCTCTTAATATATTAGGCTTTAGGCTACGCGCAAACTTAATTTTTTTTGCTGCTTAGTATACAGCTGTCTTAACTTGATTGACGCTTTTCAAATATTTTAGATGTGAAATTAGCATCTTGAAATGTGGAAGTTTCTTTTTTTACCCTTAATTTTACAGAATAAACTTCTCTTGTTCGCTGGCCTGTACTAAACAGTAATTTTTTTTCAGAAGCATAAAAACAAAAATGAAATTCGACATTCAAAAAATAATGATTTTTTGTTCCTCATTGTTATTCGATCATAGTTATAATAATTTACTAGAAGAAAAAAATATATGTTATCAAGTTTGATGTATCCTTAAAATATGGATGTATCTTTAAAATGGATCAGTGTATGAAACTTTTGAAATCTCATTTTAATATATTTCTAAAATAATCACATTTTTTTTATTTCAAGATGCCACACTCTCAATTCTTCCGATCATTGCGACAATTATGATGAAAGGCTATTTGTGTCCAGCGCTCAAGTAACCAAAAATTATGAAAATGACCTGGAGGAAACTCGCGACCAAAACTTATATATTTCTAATCAACCCGAATCACTTCCGTTAGTTGAAAAATCGTCTTCGAGCGCGAAGTACAATCAGGAATGGCAACAGATGTTTGGTTCCGACGAGTTGATCAGGGACGCAATGGACGACGTATTTATTACATTTTTATAATTTAAAACTACCCTATTATATAGGATTTTTAATTCTGTTTTTTTATATCTATAAAAAAATACAACATTTAATGGCTACCTAAAAGGTACAAAAAAATGTGAAAACCCATAATTGAATAGTTGTCATAGTCTTGATAGGCTGATGCTGAGTATCAGGATCAAGATGGAAGAAGTAGTGATCTGCATCTGGCTCAATTTACCCCGGCCTGGCTTAAATTAAAAAAAAAATTAGGCTGGATCTATAGAAAAAAAGAGTTATCGGAGGAAACAGTAGGCCAGTTTAAGGGTCCCTATATTATTTAAGCTCGTGTACTATGCAATTACATATATGAAATTTCATGGGGTTACCGAGGGGATACCATTTTAGTCAACTTAAACAGTTAATATCCATTTTATATTTAAGTCATCGGGGGGGGGGGCATAAACATCAATTGGCAGATAGTCTAGAGGACATTGTATAATGGTAATGAGTATTTTTTAATAACAAGTGATAAATTATTATTTTTGACAACAAATTCAGGTTACCGATCATGATGTTACCAAACGTTTGCTCTTTCCTGAAAACCTTCTAGAAATTAATAAACTTTCAATAAATAAAAACAGCCCAGAAAAACTTTCTTCATTCGATACGAACTCCAATTATCTAAGTATTTTTTTAAAAATTGAATAAAATTTTCTTAATAATTGAAATAAATTACTAGATGTATTGACCAAACGTCCGTCCTGGACGGGAAGAATGCGTGCTGTCTTAGCGACCTGGGGCACCTGCGCCCCATCCTGAAAAAATAAGAGATGGGTGGGGCAAACATTTAACTAACTTTAACTAAATGGCTGATTCATCATAAATTTTATATTTAAAAAATTAAATAAGATACATCTCATAGTAACCACGATGATGATAATGCTAAAGAACAGAATACTATTTACTTTAATGACGACTATAAAACGGCATTTACTGCCAACTTAAATATGAACTGGGAAATTACTAACCAAGAGTTTTACAACGATTTAGATATACATCCCTCGTTTGAATATAATAAACATGTCGATAAAACTTTGATAGCCATCCCTTCCCAATGCAGGATTCGACTTAAAAAATTATTAGCAAGTCGGAACGCTTCCTGCGATGATATATTATTTGGTAATAAGGGAATTCAATCCGATCCCAACTTTTATAACAATCTAAGAAAAAATCAACATCCTACGACGGTTAGTTAATTATTAAAAAACTTAATATCTATTTTTTTAAATCGTTTCACTTGATATTTTTACATTTCTTGGCTCGTGTCCTAATTTTAACATTTACAAATATTCAACTATCTTTCTAAAATAAAATGTATATTATTTAATTAGGAATATGCATTAAAATATTGGGTCCCATCAGAAGCATTTATCGTTTTAAAACTGGATTGATTCAGTTTTTTGGATGATATTATAAATATATAAATTGCATGTTTTTTTATTTTATACCTAAGATTCTAATAATAAATTTTAAATTGGTTCTCAAGGTATAAAATGCAAGTGTTACAATACTAAAAGGAGGTGACTTTATACTTAATTAAAAAAAATGTTTTCTACAGATACCGCACAACGACTCCAACTCCAGACTTATCCTTACCACTCTGATAGAGGAAGCCGGCAGGGATTTAAACGAGCCCTCTTCTTTAGCCAACAAAAATACCTTTCGACAACAACAGATAAAACTAAAACGAGCTAGTCAAAATGTCTTTCCTTCCGATTATACGCTGGGGCCCGTAGGTTGGAGACCTCAAGGTATTTTAGTGGCCGATATATCGGAGCACGAAGGCAGTCCTGTCAATCGACTCAGGGTTCTCATAAATATTTAAATGGCGTCTGAAATATTTTAATAATTCTACATTTTACTATAAAGCAACACTAGTTTATTTCACTGGATTTATAAGATAAATTTTAAAAAGACTAATCATAGTTTACACATTTAAGTTGATCTACGATCTGTCCTTTAAAAACTCGCTTGAGCTCGCATAATCATACCAGTTTTTTTCGCAAGGAAACCCGCAAAACCTTATTGCCCAGATAAGAGAGGGAGTACACCAAATGGAATATTTAGAAATGACATTTCCTTCTTTTTCTTACAATTATTATTATAAGAAATTATCGCAATTATTATTCTCCAACCACATTATAATTCTTTAAAAATATATTGTCTGGCTTAAAGTTAAAAACATGTTTAAAAATATGCCTATTTTTTTTTTCATTTTAAAAGAGAGACGATTTAATGAACCCAATTAATTAAATTATGGTATAATTTTAGAAAAATAAGCAGACGATATTTAATTTAAAAAAAATAGGATATAGATAAATTCCATCCATGGTGTCATTATAGTGTATTTCGTTCGTAGGCCATTTAGTAATTCAGTGCATTAATTAATTGACTTGGGAATTTTTTTAAAATTAATTAACTAAATTATTTAAAAACCTTGAAAAACAATATTCAGACATCCCCAAACAAATCCGTATTTGCATCCTGTTCCGATAGAGGGGACATAAGAGTTTGGGACTTAGCCAACATTAATACCGATATCGTACCCTTAAAGTAATTTTCCTATTCGTTTTATTCAAAAACTAAATTTTTTTGGGAATAATTTATAAAATTATTAATTTTTCATAAAATTCTATATGTAAGTACATATAATATCTATCTAATTTCAGATCAAAAATCTTTAGTTTTTTTTTATTATTGGCATTCTTACGTATAACCGTCAATGTTTAATAATTTTGTGATCAACGAAAAAATTAGATTTTTTTAAAAAACGGGTAAGGGCTAATTTTAGGCGGTGCTGTATTTAACGCTGCGTTATTTACAAAATCAAACCAATAATTAGGTATCATTTATAAATATAGAACGAAATGATATTAAAGCTGTGATAAATTTAAAAAATATATGTAAGGATTTATATTTCAAAAGTTATTATTACTGTGAAGAATCAGTTGCGGTCTCGATAGCGTTAAATACCGCACCGGTCGAATAAAATGCGTTTACTTTAAATTCAGCTTAATTCTTCAATAAAAATTTTTTTTTTTTAAAAATCAGATCAAAATTTTGTAAAATTTTTCCCAACCTTCAATGTAAAAGTTTGATTTGGATGGATGAGTCAATCTTAGTAGCGGGATACAATAAGAGAACCATCAAAAGTTTTCATTTAGATCATCACAGACCGGGCATAGGTATCAAAGTTTTGGAATGGTTTGAACACGTTCCTAATTCCGAAGGAGACGTAATAGTCGACATGGCACCGATTAGCCACAAAGGTTAAGATAATATGACAATATTAATATGAGATAGAAACAGGTGATATCAAATTATATAAGTTTAAAAAATAGGAATGCGAGATTATTTACTAATAGCATAAAAGGGGTATAATTTAATTTACTATGTATTCGTGTATGAGTTGACTGGATCGTTATATGTTAATTTTATATTATCCTTTTATTATTAATAGTTCTTATAGCCCTTACTCACACCAATAAATTGCTAGGCCTGGACCTTAGGGCACCTCCCTTTCCTATTATGTACCATGACACGTCTAATTTGTTGCATCCTTCAAAAATTCCGCTCTTCTCTGGCTGCGGCACTTGTATGGCGGTAGATTCCCAATCTTTTTTCCTAGTCAACGGAACTTCCGAAGGGTATCACATATGTTGGGATACCAGGTTTCGGATACCAGTTGCTGTTATACAACACCCTAACGGTATTTTATTTTTTTTAGGAAAAATCGACCAATTTTCAAGTTTATTAGATTAAAATAATTGTTAGTTTATATCAATCCCATTAAATTTGTAGGGCTTTAGGGGCAGACGTCAGGACACTCTAAAATGGAGAGGGGGGGTACGATACAATTACGCTATTGAATTTGGTGGGGGGGGGCACTAGCTTAGTGAACATAAATGGTCAATCAATGTACATTTATAATTGAATAATATATTTTCATCATCAGGGGGGGGGGATTTAGTTTCAATCGCTGGATGAGCAGAGGCTTGTCTAGTTGGCTCTGGGAAACCGGATATGCTCTTTGTTTAATTTTTTTTAAAATAATCATATAAATGAAACGCTAAAAAAGGAAGTTAAAACTTATAAAATTTTTAGTGTTATTGTTACATTTATACTAAAATTAATACAAATCAATCTTTATTTTACATCTCTTAATCTTACCGAATACTACTCCCGACTTAAGGCTGCTCTATTTCCCGACCTGTGGTCATCTTCACCGGCATCCCCTCTACCACCATATGAAGGCAGCTAGTGTTATTATAAATGTTTGTTTTTAATGACTTATATCCTTGAAAAAAATAAGCTTCCCATATACGTCGCGTTTACATTCACCCTTCGAAGCCTTCCAAATTTTATTCTTGCTCTAATCACGACAACGAAATAGCCCAATGGGATGTGTATAGCGGAATCAGGGAAAAGATATTGTGGGCCAGTCCAAACCCGCCTCTTTCTACTGTTTCTAATTGGCCTCATTTTACATCAGACCTTATCTTAGGACCAAGAGCGCCGAATCATAGGATTGGCAAAGCATCAGGGGAATACATTATATCTGCAGGTATCATGTTTTTGTTTGTTTGTTTTTGAAATATCAGAATAGGTTTATTTTAGAAATAATTATAACATTTTTCAAAATTTATTAATTTAGATCTTATATATTATTATGAAACTTAAATATTATAATCGAGTATGAAAGAGGAAGATTGAACGATATACAAAGTTTCCTTATCAAAAAAAGGAAAAATAATCATTTTCAAAAAAGCAAAAGGTCAATCAAAAATGAAAATAATCCAATCATAAACGGTTCTAAAAAGGAAAAATTCATATTCAAGAAAGGAATTTTTTTTTAAAGACCTTAATTAAAATATCATTTTCTCAGTTGAATATTTCAGTTACAAACATTATGATTAAATTGGTCCATCACAAAAATTGTTTATCGTATTATTTTCTCGAGTGAGATCATTATTTACAAAAATTTTTAAAGTAAGTTTTTTTAAAATAGACCCTTAAAAAAAGAATAATATTAAATGAAACGTAAGATACAAATTAAGGAAATTGAGAAAAATATAGATTTTAAAAATGACATAAAATTAAAATTTCAAGTTAAAAAAAAATGAGAAAGATTAAAAAACAATTATATTTTAGGATTATCAAAATGACAACAAAATAGCAATTATTTTTGAAATATATAAAAAAATTAATAACTGTTTTCATTTTTTTGAGTGAGAATTTCCCTTATTTGTTTAGGACCTTTTTTTTCTTATGTGACTTTTATTTATTTTGATTGAACCTTTTCCTTCACTTTTGCCTTTTCATTTAATTTTTCCTATGTTTTGTGTATTTTTCCATTTTTTGATTGGACTTTTTCATTTTTAAAAAATTGGAAACCCTGTAACATAAAGAAGGAAGGAAAATAAAAAGATATAATAAATGACAGAAAAGTTAAATATTTCTAAACCCCCTTCCCGGAATTTCCAAAGGCTCTGATTCAGTTATAAGATACTGGGACCTCAGCTCACCTACCACATCATACCCTGTAATACACGATCGATCATTGTATTCTCATAATCAATCGCAATATAATCTACCAATCAAATACGAGACACGTCTGATCGAAGGGGTAGCCATGATTGTTGAAACTTCCACCAATCCAAAAGCTCTACGTAGCCATGCCAACCACCGTGATATTATCAATTGCTTGACATATATAGGTTTTTTTTAATTATATAATATAATCAATAATAATATTTTCTGAATAATAAAGTTTATTACGAAAAGCGTTTTTTTTACTCAGTGTAAAAAAAAGATATGAAACATAAAAGCTGTTTTTTATTATGCAAAAACGTGAAAAAAATAGGCTTAAGAATTATTTTTACAAAACTTTTAAAACTTCAAAAATTAAATTTAAAATAAATTTCTTGTATGAAAAATAACTCAATTTAACAAAATAATTAATATATAAAATAATATGATTGTTATAATGAAAATTTCTAATAAAACAAAATATTGGTAGATTATATTTCCCATGGGGATTGTAACAAAAAAACAAATAGTTTTTTCCCTAAAAAACTGTTTTTTTCATCCCATGTCCTTTTTCATTCTTATAAGAGCATGGAAAATTATAAATGGAATCTTTGATTCAAATCTAGTTAAAACGAAAGCCATTTTTTATTTATTTATAAAACATTTGACCTATGATTTTTTTTTATTTTCTAATCTAAAAAAATAACACTTAAAATATTTAACCCATGAATTATTTATTAATAATAAATATATTAATATTGTAAGAGGGGTTAATCTTTTTTCATTTTAAATTTATCTCTTCTAAGGTGATAATAGCAGCAATAACTTATCGGGAACGTGGAATAGCAATTTACTGATCTCCGGATCTTACGACGGGTTTATCAAAATATGGAAATGAGAAGGATAACAATTAAAATCGATAATTAAATATTTCCCGCGTTAATCGACTAATGAGTTAGTTGATTTTGATGGAATACCTAACATTCCTTTATATTAAAAATAAAAATTCGCAATATTAAAATAATAATGATGTACAAAATTAGTGTAAATGTTAAGTAAAAAAAATTTTTCGCTTTATTATAAGTAACAAAAAATTGGACAAATTACATCTTGATAGAAAAAATATGCGGGTTTTTTTAGTTTCAAGAGTAACAGATTTCTTTCAAATTATTATTTTTTTAAATTTTGTATTTTTTTTACTTTCTAAGAAGCCCGAATATCGTTATTTTAAAAAAAAAATTAATAGGGTGCTTATTGATTTCAGATTTCATAGTCACTTTTTCACACGCCATATTTATTTACAGTTCTTATTTTGTTTTATGTCATCGATTTTATATTATTTATACATTTTTAAAGCATAATTTAAGTCGTATTTATTCATAAAAAAATATTATTTATTTTATATTGTTTTAAAAACCTAAAAATATATTATGCATTTATATTTAATAATCAGAAAATTTAATTTAGTTTTCCCTTAGGACAAAATATTCTAAGGTATAAAGTATATTACCTGGATAATTTGTATTTGATAATCTATGATACAAGTTTTCCAGAAGAAAAGGTTATAAAAATGATATATTTGTAATTATGGTTATATAAATACTAGTGTAACTTATAGGAAGGTTAAAATGTTCCCGAAAGGATTCAAATTATTTTGAAATAGTTCCACCTGATACAATTACAAGATATTTATCCTTCATTTATGCCAGACCTGTAATATTGTTTATAATTTTTTCACTAATCAATTATTATAGATAACAATTTAGTATATAATCAGTTATGTTAAATAAAAGTTAATGAAATATAAGTTAGAAAAACATGTCGTTATAAAATTTAGTCATAGCTCTTAATCAAACTTGTCCCTTTTCACAATTTACAATCCATTGTGGGATTGTGTACTTTAGTAAATAATATAATTCATTTTCCACCAGGTTTTTTTAAAAGTCCGATCCACTCTATCCAAGTTTTTTCTCAACAAGGTCCACCAGTTTGACCCGAAAATAAAATTTTTATAATTAGGTTTGGCCCAGTTAAATTTTGTTTAAAAATTGTATATTTTTATTTTATATAAAGATCTAACACAAATCTAAAAAAATAGAGCAGCGTCTACATGACAGGATTTTCACTGGATGCAAACCCCCTTAAAAACCTTTGCCTACCCCCTTGTCTCTTTATTATTTTCACCTTTATAATTATATTGATACTCTTTTCAGAGATTTTATAAGGATAACTTAAATTAATCTATCTCTACTACCAACTATCGATATTTTGTGAATATAAAGAATTTATTTTTTAGATAATAAATTCAATTAAAACCTCCATTATTTACAATGAATTAATTATGGCATTATGAGCTTGCTGATTTGGAAAACAATGTGTATGATTGTTTGCAATATATAGATTTGGTCAATAATTGTATAATAATTCTATAATAAATGTATTAATTTTTACAGCAATAAATTGTGTCCTATTTCATATTAAAATTTAATAGATAACCCCCCAAAAATTTATCCTACCCCCATTAAAGCAGCCTACCCCCTTCCCCTCAAAAAAATAGGATGCAAACTGTTCCTACCCCTCTCGCTCATGTAGACGCTGCTTACGAGGCCATCCTACCTATCTTATTTCCTTGAGACATTAGGAGTTTAAAAATTTAATCACATGTTAATTATATTAAATCACATTTTTTTTTTAAAAAAGATGCAATTTACATTAACTACGCTGAAAAGAAGCTGCGATTAAAAGGTAAAATAAGGTTGCTTACTAAAGATGCTTCAAAATATAAGAATTTTTTTAAAAAATATAATATATATTAGATAAAACTTTAACCCATAGAAATAAAATTTAAAAAATGGGAAATGAAATGACATTTTTTAAAAAATATAATATATATTAGATAAAACTTTAACCCATAGAAATAAAATTTAAAAAATGGGAAATGAAATGACATTTTTTAAAAAATATAATATATATTAGATAAAACTTTAACCCATAGAAATGAAAATTTTAAAAATGGGAAATAAAATGTATTAGTCATATGATTGCTTCATAAAAGTTTCGAAGTAATAATATCTAGTGGAATAATAAATATAAAATAAAGTTCCTGCTGATAAAATCTGAGGTGATTTTGAAATATATATAGAAATCGATACAAATTTCTAAAAGCCGAAATATATATGGTATGATACAATTTTTACAAGTATTTAGAAATTTTTTTACAGTTATTAATAAAACGAATCGATTAATTCGTTTTAGGTAAAGATATAGCACGTTTTTTATGTAGGTGAAAAATATTATAAGCAACGCTAAATAAACCTATTACTAGTGCACTTGCGCTAGAAGTAATATTGCATTTTATAGTTTATCTACAAAAATATGTATTGTCGATACAATATTCCAATATTTTAACGACTGCTTTCTGCTAAATATTATGATTGCCAATTTTATTAGCAATTTAAATTTTTCACTATTGATTTTTTTTTATCCATAGGATTCAAATGATGATTGAGGTTTTACCTTACAAAAAATATTATCTAAAATGTTTATTTATTTTTATTTTTTTCACATAATCTCAGCATAACAAAATACTTTGAATATTATGTAAAGTATGTTATATATATAAATTGTGAATACTATAATAAATAGTATAAATAGGTGGTAAATATATAAATAAACAATAAAATAAGTTAAAATATCTGTATTGTTCGTTTGCATAATTATAGAATAATATTACATATTATAATATATCCAATTTCGTTTTTGAGCATTCTCTATCCCATAAAAACAATTAGGATACTAAATTCAAAACAATAATATATTGATACGAAGAAATCACATATTTAGATAAAATAAATAAATCACATAACCGATAATACAGTATCAAATTAAGTAAAGTTCTTTTTAAAAAATTTATATGGAAAAAAAAAGATTTGAACTAGATATTTTTTCTTTAAGTTGGGTATATGATTTACAGAAATTAAAAATATTTCAATATTATCACATTCAATATACAATTGAACATAATATAAATTTTTTTTTACCTAAAGCTACATTTTTTATTGTTATAAAAATATAATTTTTTTTTTTAAAATTTTATAAACAAATTAAAAAGAAAAAATAACCTAATAATTTTAATACTTAATCTTATAATATTAACTAATATTTTTGGAGAGATATTGATATAAAATTATTTATTATTCGAACCGATGATATTTACACTAGGATGGGGAGTATTTATCTAGTAAAATAAATAATATATTGTTCTTATTTTTGTAAATTAAAATGCGATAGATGATCCATATTTGGCTAAAAGGCTCATGGAAGTTAGTCCAAGAGCTATCCCGGAATATTGAATGACTAGCGTTGAAGGTAATTTACCTAATTTATTTGCTTTTTCGATAGATTTGTTAAGTTCTGGCATCTAATATATATTAATACATAAAATTTATTAATTTTTATAACACCCCCTATATAACCACAATTAAGCTACTCAGATATAAACCTAACCCGTGACAATACCAGGCACCCATATCTAATTATATACTAACCAGAAACGTAGTGTTAAATAGCTCGATTTTTTAAACAATTATTATGCAAGCCTGAAGATTTTGCTTATCGATGGCTGAAAGGTTTGGAAATCTATTAACGAAATCTCGAGGATTGCACATTATTTTTTGGTTAAATAGTTGATTCTAAAATCCAGCCATTTAACATTACTGACCCGCAGTAGCCTACATGAGATCTTGGGTAAAAGATCGATTACCTTTTTTATGGGATTATTTACCAAGACCGTTGTACGTCTAACGATTCTATATTATATAATACCGCTATAGTTTCCTATTTCGAAAATGAATTTTCTCGACTATATGGATATGTTACGGCCAAATCTAATTTACTTTTAGTAAGCACTAAGGTATTAAGAATATAATTATCCAACAAAAGAAGAGTAACTCAGTCTTAGGATGAAACAGAATAAACAGTTATAATTTTCTGAACCGTAACGCATAGCCGATTCTCACAAGAAAAGCGAACGGTTATAGATACTCTCAAACCCGAGTTCATAACGGTTTTAAAATTTATTTTTTAAAAAATGGTTAAAATAATTCAAATGATTTGTTAGGAACTAGCAGACCAGGAACCTTCTTTTAAAATTGGTTTTAGAATTGGTTTAAACAAAAATGTAGGTAATTAATTTCCATATGTATTATATATATACATACATACACGTAACATTGGAATATGAGATCCAACGAGCATTTGGAATCTCTCGATTTGAAATTATTGATTGCAGACATTTTTGAATAGGAAATTCATTATCTGAGGAAATGTACTCAAAGCATTAAAAATATAAAATTTAATGGATGGCCTAAAATTTGTAGGGTAGTTTTACTTTAGATATGCCGTAATATATTTCCAGTCAGATTTTTCCAAATTTAAGAATCGTACTTAATAAATAATATAAAATTATTGAGAGATTAAAAAATCCCAACGGTTTCCATATCCCAATATGACATTATTTATCGCATAAAATGATTTTGTTGGAAATCTATTTTTTATAGGGTTTATAAATTATTTTCAAATTTTTTTTGATTAATTTTAAGAATTTCGAAGACTTATTCAAACATTAAATTACATATATGAATTTATAAACCAAAACGAAAAAAAATGTCCAGAATGTTACAATCATATAGAATTTGAATTTTTATAGTCGGACCGACTAGTGTTGTTAAAAAGCCCGATTCGGGTCCATTTTATAAACGCCAGATTAAGATTATAACCAAAATAATATTATGTATGCCTGGTGATTTTGTTCATAGATGACGGAAAGGTTTGAACATCTATTTGCCAAATCTCGAGGCTCACACAATAATAATTTAGACTAAAATCTTAATGGAACCATTTTTAAAAATCAACCCATGTCGGGCTTTTTAAACAATGTATAAATAAATTGTGTAAGAATCGGTTTTAGAACTAGTTCAAAATTTTAAAATTGATTCCGGGTTTACTTCATATAAATATTAAAAGAAGCTTTTAGGTAAAGGCCTGATTTTTTTTGCTCTGGTCGGTCGTATTAAGTCTAAAATATTTTAGCTTATCTTTTTGAATTTTATCAATGATATCATGACTTGATTCTACATTATTTTACAATTTTGTTCATTTTTAATTTTCTTATAACATACTAAAAAAAAATATATAAATAACTTTAAGGGTAAATATATATTTATTTTTGGGTAGGGTTGAGTCGAGAATTAAAAATTTTCGGGTTGGGACAGGTTAATAAAATAATTTATTCCTTACAGTTAGGCTCCGGGTCCAAATATTATTTTAGAAAAGTTAAAAATCAAATTAATCCAATCCTCGATATTATAGATTAAGAAATTATTTGGTACAATATATGACTAGGTCTCAACGTCTTTTTATTTTGAATGCATTAAAAGATACAACTAAAGCGAATCTATTTAAACAAAACCAACATATGTAACCTTAATGTTCGCTTTGGGTATTTACTAGTATGAAATAAATACACGCAATCAGGTGAGTAATGAAGTAAGCGTTAAGAGTTATTGATTCTTTTTAAATGTATTTGATTAATATATTAAATAGTATTGTAATTTAATCCTTATGTACAAAACAAAAAAAATTGATGTTTTCGAGTCCTATTCGGCTCAATGCGTGTATCACAACCCGATGGTTCTGGGTTCTAATGCAGCAAGGATAATGTTTTTTTATATATAGAATATCAGGAGCGACCGTATAATTCCGTTAATATATTTAAAAAAAATAAGTGGTGGCTATATGCCGACCAACTCCATATATCATTACCCCAATCAAGGAGTCTAATAAATTATCAAAAATAAACGATAAATTTTTTTTTGGTAATTATTAATAGATTTTTTAATCATAATATTTATGTTGAGAGGAGTTGGCAAATTATAATACAATTACATAAACATTAAGAAAGTTATTTGTAATAAAATTTAATGTAGAAAAAAAATATAATTGCATGTTTTAACTAAATTTAAATAATTAAAATTTACCATATCGACCAGAGATATGTATAGGAACATACCGGCGGCCAGGGCGAATATATAGAAGCTGGCCTCTTGATTTTCGCCCAAAATAATCCCGAAAAACATGCCCAAATAGCAGGTGGAAGCCGAAAGAAAGTTACAGAGCATGGCTTTTTTGACCGGCATACCGGAATTCAGGAGGATTGCGAAATCTCCTGTTGGTGTTAGTTGCAGTTTATAAAATAGATATTATGAGAGGAGTGTCAAATGATATTCAAAAAATTGATATTTTAAATAAATTTAAAATTGGAGTTTAGGAAAATGTTATATTCGTAAAATCAAAAAGAGCAATTTTTTATTCAACCAATCAGCAGAGTGTCGAACCGAATCTTGAAACAAACCTATATAATCAATTTTTTAGAATCTGAGCTAAACTGAAGCATTTTTAAAAAAAATAATAAAAGGAACTAGCTGAAATCTTTATAGTCAGAAATTCATGGTTTTTGATAATTTAATTCAAAAGAAAATAAAAAAATTATTTTTTTTATTGTTATCTTACTTTTTAGCATATATATTTATATAATATATATATAATTTTTATAAAAACTCATTATAGTTGGGCAATGGCAAAATGTAGGCTCAATCTACAGGCGCGTACCGGAAAAAATTCGATATCATTAAGGCGTATTAATTTATATTAGTTTTTTTTTCTTTTCAAACTTGAGCTGCTATATTTTTAAATCCGAAGGCCATTGATTTAAACAGCAAAAAATATAGTAATTATCGACCATAATGACAAAGATTTATAAATATAAAAAGTATAGCAATTGTTTAAAAAAAAGACATTTCTATTCATCTATCTTAAAATGTATGATTGAAATCAAATTAAGTTAATGCAACATTTGTTGATTCCTTCCATAAAAATTAAGCGAGATAAAGTTAAAAATGGTCTCTACTAATCTCCCGATATGGAAATCAGAAAAAGAAAATAACAAGACCACAAAACATCATTTACAAATTTGGCATGTAATCGAGACACTTGATGATCAAGTTATAATGATGTATAATTACTTTTCATTAGTTCATCAAAGTCAAAAAATTATCCCCACCTTGAGGACGATTTTTAATCCTTATTGCAGATGAAAGAAGATAATAAGTCACAGTATAAAACAAGAGCATATTCTTGCGTATTGGGAGAAGAAAATTAGAGCAATTTAAGCATATTAACAGTTTCCTGAAACACAGATTTTATTAATTTCAATCTTATGTACAAATAAAAATTGAAAATAATATTTTAAGTCAATTAAAAAAAATTTTTTAAAAAAAATACTCTATATTTTACCACAAAAGAAGGTTAAAATTATTCGTATCGTACCGCCTTTACTATTTTTAAGTTATAATTAGGTATTTTGTCGCTTAACTTTTCGTTAAATTTCGATTAAACTTAAAATTTATATGCTCAAATATCTTAAGCTTATTGCTCAATTTATAATTTTTAAATATTATATTAAGAATTTTTGGAAATAATTCCTTCAAATATTTTTTTATCAATAACTGTTGGCAGTTATTAATTATAGCTCTTAGGATAAAAGAAGATACAAAGTAAAATATGAATTATTATTTTATAATGTTCTAGAAGTGATATTGCAATTAGTTTATAAATAATTTTATCTAGTTTATGATGTGTAATATTTGGTCAATCAGGCTCACCCTACCTTTTATGAATGATGAAATTGTTTTACATTTGATATTTATAAAATTGTTTTGCAATTAATATTTATATAATTGTTTTGCATTTAATATTTATAGAATTGTTTTGTATTTAAAATTATAAAATTTTATTTTAATATTGAAATTAAAGATTATATTTTCTTCATTTGTGTGAGTATTTAATGAAATTATATGTGTATACTGAGTATCAATGTTTGTTATTATAATATTATTTTTTATTATGAAAATATGACTTCACATTATTATTTGATATATAATTATAATATATTATAAGATTTAATATATTTGCCAAAGTCATTGTAAGATTTTATTTTGTTTTAATAAATAATTTTATAATTGAAAATGGAAAATGGAGTAGAATTTGTAATATTAATATATAAGAGGTATATGACTGAAACTTAAAGCTAAAATATGAGATTATTAAATACCTATTTATCAACATTAGTTTCACAAATCAATTAAAACACTAATCATATCTTAAATAAATTTACCAAACTTAGTGATATAAGATTTTTTTTAATGAATAAAATTAATAGACTCCTAGATCTAATCGTCGCTAGCCTTCACAATATCAGGGGGCTCAACTAAAAATATTTTTTTTAGGAGGGGGGGGCTTCGCCCCCTTATTCTCCAATTTTTGCCCGGGTTTTATATTAATATATTATACTTTTTTAAAATTTGTTAACTCTGAACAACTATTCTGAATTTCATATTTTGACATTTATTATATTATGCATATAAAATAAACTGATATATAAAAAACCACATAATGCAAAATATAATTCTTAGCAACTTACATTGACAAAAGGTTATCAAATTAGTATAACTCTCTATTACCATTTTAGACAATGTTTTATAGAATGGACTAATAAGGAAAAATTTTATAGGTCTAAACCAAATTAACAATTTTTGAAGGAGAGAGTATAAACGACCAATCCAAATCATAAAACTATATAGTGGTTAGAGCTTCCTCTTAGAATACATGATGGAAGCTAGATAAGTAATCGAGAAAATTATGTGAGATATTAAATTTCTAAAAGATTATCTTCCATTTTAAATGATATATAAACGACTACATAGTTGACTATTATTGTTTATCTAAAATATGCAATCATATGCTCTCAGCAGCTGTGGTAAAAATTTTAAATTACATAAACACAAATAAATGATGCTGGTTAATTTGCAGTAATAGAGCCATGACACTCACGATGTAAACTAATATCAGAATTTTTTATGTTGGATAAATTGATAAAATAAAAACACTAAAAATCTTTGGAAGAAATAATTATGCAAACATATTGAAGCCTAGAGTTATTTACACTGCAATGCCATATTAGAAATGAAACATTTTCTAACTATAAAATAAGGACCAGAATGATATGATGAAACAATTAAGATTTTATATGTTGTCGTACCACCTTGGTATATTATATCTTAAAGTAATAGTAGTTTGTAATAATATCAAAAATATACTTGTATTAAAAAATTTAACTCAAGCCTGTTTTTCAAAAAAGAAATAAAAAAGCTCTCCGAAAAACACGTAAAAAAAGAAGAAATATCAAATTTACTACATCTATTGCAGGATGAATAATAAAATGTTTAATTTTTAAAACTATTTTTAACTTAGATGGCGTTAAATACTTGAATGCAATTTGTTATTATATTTATTATCAAAACCATTTATTAGTAAAATTTATTAAAATATTAACTGTAATTTATTATAAAACAGTCAAATACGTCAATAAAAGTGGCATTATATCTAATATTTTATAAACAATTTGTTTATCGTAGAGGACTATAAACTATATGTTTACTTACTTTTTATAAAGAAATCTCTTATACTTATTTGGACCTTGAAAATATTTTTAGGAATGGAATGGGTATGATAATAAAATTTAAAAATAAATATATAGTAAATTAGTCCTTTTGAACTCGGCTAATTACAATATTAAATTTGTTAATTTTCAAATAATATATGATTATATTTATTTAATTAGGGTTAAATAATAATTTAAATAATAAAAGTCATTTAAACTTCAACTGTTAAAGCTAAATTAATATTTAGTGAGTTATTGATATTATATTTTTAATACAGAATTTGATTGCAAGCTGACATAGTGAAAATATAATTTATATGTATTAATCTAATCTACTAATAATTAAAATGATATTCATTTAATAAAAATTTAAATAGTATTATTAATTTCTAAATAATCAAATTACATCTATATATTTCTTAATGGAATTATAAAAGAAATCATTCAGTGGGCAATCAAAAAAATTTATTTAGTTCAAGGGGATATTAAGGAGTCATTAAAAAAAATTTTTTGCTTCAGGGGGCTATTCAAATTTTTCAGGAGGCTCGAGCCACTGCGCGCCCCCTCCCCCTAGCGACGCCACTGAAGCCAGCTATTTATGAAACTTTTATTGTGGAATGGATAGATTGCAATTTGGTTACCATGTAACAATTCCATTATAAATCTCTCACTTCAAACTTATAGGGGCCATTTTGACAGCCATTTTAGTTTATTTGCTTTTTTAACATTTTTTAATAACAGTAATTGCGGACTGTAATTAAAATTATTTATATAGTAATATATGGGTACCCTGTACAAAATAATAACTGCTAATATTAATGAAACAATTATGAAAGGTGTTTTATAACCTGAATCTAACTTAAAGGTTTATATATAAAATTTAATTTCATCTGAACTTAAACTCTTACAATTTTCTCTTCCTAGAACTTTAACCGAACCTAGATTAGAACCAAATATACGGGATTAATGTGGGGCAAATCGATCGTAGTTTAAGTAATGAAAACGCGATATACCAAAAAAATGTTAGTCAAATTCCTATAATTTTTCGGCTCATAAAATTTTTAATTTACCAAGCTCGTGAGGTAACTCTTCGAAAATGACGGCCAGAGATATACTGACACCAGTCAATACATTTTGAGAGAATGCGGCACCTATGGAAAGACCGTCGATGAAATTGTGCAGCCCGTCTCCCAACAAAATCATGTATGCTAGCGTCAAAATTGTATTTTGCCCGGCGAAGTGGAGCCCGTCTTCGTGGCTGCAAGTTCTTATCATCTTTAAGAGCGAGCGTTTTATAAAATTAAAAAAATTGATAGAAACCGAAAATTTGAACTGGAGTTTGAAAAATAACCTTATTTTAATCTAGATTTTCAACTTTGAATGATATTTTTAAAAAATGGATAATTACTGAACACGTGACTTTTATTCATTTTATATTTTTATTGTGTTGCATATGTAGGCTTTACTGTTTAATTTTAAAATAAAAATGCAAAGAGGTAAGAATTTGAAAGCTATAAAATAATTAAATCCTTGATCACTCAATTTTATCTATCTTGAATTTACTAAATAAATTGAGAAATGAGCTCGTGCAATGATCGGCCATATTAATAAAAATTGTAACCTGTCCTTAATTTTACTCGGTTACTAAAATGAGATTTAATATGATACATACCTCGGCAGGCGTTATGCTGAGAGCTGGGGCGTCGTCGTCGTTTATTATATAAGGATCTCTCAAATTTCTCATGGTTACCGCATCATAATTATTATTATGGGTACAATTGCGTTCATCGTGGGAATGACGTTGGTTGCCGTTCCGAAGAATGGATTTCTTGGAACACTCGCCGTCTAGATGGCAGAAAGAATGCGATTTAGGTCTGAAACTCTCCGTCGCCTGGTTGGGCGAAAAAAAATTGAAACTAACAGAGCCCAAGGAATCGTCAATGATATTCGATGCAGATGCTGATTTACGCTGTATTGAATCCGTTGTTCCGTCTAATGGTCCATTTGCCAGTAATCTTTGTTTCAATTTTTCATTTTCCGACATCTCTAGGCCTACCTTTTGGTCGCTCTTATTATTTTCAACGTCGAAAGTGAAGTGGGTTTTGTTAGTCTGAGATGATGATTTGCGAGATGAAGGATCTCCTAATTTTTCGTCAATCGAGATATGCCCGTTATTAAAGTTTGGGACGTGATTATTCTGATCGTGCTTTTGAAGCATCTTAGAGTTAACTAATTCGGGATTGTTTTGGGTTCGGGTAGTAGTGCAACATGTACAGGTTAGCAATCTTTTAATAATATCCTTCTTCCTGCAGAACCGAGTGGTTGATTGAGTGCCTACTGGTGGAAAAAACCCGTTGCTAGTAGGCTTTTGAAAGGAGTTAAATGCATTTCCATCATTCGATATTTTTAAAGCTGCCTTTTGCATATCCTTGGCTAATTTGTTGGTCTTATTTTTTTAAAAAAAATATTTAAAAAGTAAAACTTTTATGGTAAATAATAATATATTTTGGTCTAGAATTTTTAAACTAGTCAACGGATGCAGACCTCAAAATGGCTGCTGACTCCTATGTATGAACACTTTTGAATTCATTTTATTAAAATGATATTTATATATTTGTTTAAAAATGTCTATTCTATTTATTTTTTTTATAGTTAAGTATATAAACGATAAATGTGATTTAGCTTAAGCGCAGCCCACAAAATCCGTCTACAACGAATTACTATGTGTTTACAATTTTTATGAATGAGTTCTCAATCTAAATTAGTATATTAAAGAATATATCCGATTTTACCCTGCGCCACTCCAAGAAAACTTTGATAAGCCATTCCGTTATAAAGAACAAGTAAATCCCGCCTATGATAGTCGCGCTCTTGTTTATGTACGAATGGTGAATATCCGTGTCCATCAAGTTGAAAGACTTATTATCATGGTATTATATAATAAAAAAATTTAAGAATACCTTTATAGTAGTATTATAAGGTTAGATTTCATTGGGATCTTTGGATAATTTTAATGATAATACCCTACAAAAATAGCATAAATTTCAAGAAATTTGGACATTTAAATTGTAATTATTTATAACGCTATAAGTAAAACAGAACAAGCATGGATTGATCGGTTCGGACATGTTATTTTTTATTAATCGGACGGATATGACGTACAAAAAAATATACATGAAATTGGGCTGGGTCGGAAGGGTAAAAATATATCTGATACAGGATTTTAATAAAATTAAATAAAAATATATAAGCAGCAATTTAACGAGACTAATATGAGTTTACGGAGAGATCCTTATTAACGAGGGTAAAACCACCAAAACTTTGTTTTAGGATCAACAATACACTTATATAATGTGAACCAAAAAATCTAATCGACCACCAATAAATAATTTTTTTAATATATTTATTTTAAAAACTAACTTGCGGGATCAAATGGAAAACCGCACTTCCAGAGAGGGAACCAACGGCTAAGCCTATCATAAATTGAAGCATCAATTTGTAATATTTCTTCTTCATGAAACTTATGAACACGACGCCGACCATGGAGCATATGCATATTATCGTCACGAATAAAAAAGAGTAGCCCCATACTGATTTTTTAAATATTTATTTTAAGGGGTATAAAATATGTTTTAAAAAACGCATTATCGCGAATATAATATAGCGAGGAAACTAAAAAATAAAAAAGAACAAATTAGTCTTAAGATTAGACACATGAAGGGAACCATTTTGGATGATAGCAAAAATAATAATAATTAAAAATAAGGAGAACGACATTGAAAGCAAGATTTTTGTATTAATTAAGATTAAATATAAATTTTTTGTAATCCTTGACTTTGTACATCTAAAATTTATATTTCTTTTATTACATTAATTATTTTATTTCTATAAATAATAACATAAATTTGAAATAGAGCGGGTGCCTCGATATTAAATATCGTATCAGATATTTTAAAATCCGATAATATCATTATTTTTATGATTCAAAAATTATTTTATATATTTTACATAAAATTTTCTAATAATAAATAATAAAGGAACCAAAATTAAATTTTATTAGTAATTATTAAAAAAAATTGAAGTAAAAAAAACAAAATACATTTCGTGATGATGCACCAAATATCGCCGTGACCATGAGAAACGGAAAATATTAATTTATGACATAGGTTAAAAGGTATTAAGAATCACCATAAATATCGGATCGGATATCGATAAAATTTGATGACCGACACATTTAATTTGAAATAAAACTAGAGCAGTGCCGATATTAAATATAAGATCGGATAGACATCGATATTTAGCGTTTTTAAAAAAAATATCGAATCGGGCCGATATTTTTTGGTTATTATTTTATGATCATATATAAAATAATATAATTTATTTTTATAAATAATTTTATAATTAAATAAATTAACGAATGGAACTAAAACACAATTTATTTATTGTAATAAATGTTTTAAAAAAATGGTTTAAAATTCTTCACTATTTTTTGTTATATTATCTGCAGCAGGAAAAGGATTTTAAAAATATCTAACGAGCCCGGTTCGATTTAGCCAATTTTAAAAATGGTTAACTCAAGATTTTGATCAAAGGTAAATTACTCAAGCATATTGATTTAGTCCACAAATAGTAGAAAGGGTAAGCGAAAAATACTTCCCCGAAAATAGAATTCCCATTTTTTCGATTTAAAAAATATAAAGTGGTAAAAAATTCCTTTTAAATAATATTTTTTTTATGATCAAATTTTACTACAAATATTTTTTTTTATAAAAGTTCTTTGATATACAATTAAATATTTTGCATTTCTTTACATATAAAAAATCTTTAGTTGAAATCACAATTTATATTAAAAATAAATCCTAAAGATTTTTGCTATTTTAAAACTCTATAAAATTTTAAAACAAACCAATAAAATATCAAAACTTTTATCACAAACACATTTTCGCGAAATTTTATTAAAGTAAATTGATGTTGTAAATAAATGTCGCGAATCCATATTCGCATGCTATTCAGCAAAACAAAAACCATATCAAATTTTTATAGCAGAATTTTTATATCTCTTTAGAGCTAATTCATAATAGCGAAACTTTTATCGTCAATTTATAATAGCGAAAATCTCACTTACAAAGAAGGTGCAAATCGCAAAAAGACAATTTAGCGAAATCTATTTTGCGACTCATATATAGCGAATTTATTACTGCGAAGTCTTTATTTATGCGAATTATCATAAAATCTTCTAAAATATTCTCATTAAGACTTCCACGATATAAAATTCCTTTTTTTAAAAAAAAAGCTTGGACTCTGCGGCTAATGATAATGCACCCTAAACGTGTATCATTCTCATGATTTTCATATATGTTAACGTCAAGGTGTTTTTTCAAGCAATGTGTTATTTTTATAACTTAAAATCATTTTTTGAGCGCGTTTTTTTAAATTTAAAAATCTGATTTAACCGGAAATGCAAGCCGTTGTTTGGAATACCTACCATATGAATTTCAGACAATTTTTCTATGAACTTTTAAACTTAATATAATTTATATTAGATTTCCCGTATATTTTTTTATATAAATTACAAATGACTCAAAGGTTGGCTAAATGTAGCTATTTAATAATATTACATCCACCCTATGATATGTATAGATGGTAAATAAAAATCAATATAAATATCGGATCCTTATTTAGTAATATAGGAACGAATCGGTGAAAATTTTTGGATTGGCACACAACCCTTAATATAACGAATAACCATTAAATATTAATCAAATTTCTATCATTTTCACTTTATATATCATTCCCGTTAATTCCTCAAAAGAAAATTCGAGAAAATTTTCCATTCTAATTTTATAATATATATGTTTAATGATGTATATAACAACAAAAAAATACTATACCGTGTTTAGCTGGAGGTCTCCTATCAGCATCCGCTAGCAATGTCTCGTGGCTAGTCTCAATCGTATCGTTTAAAGCGGAGGGAAGGAAGATGTTTTCGGATTCGTTGGTGATAGGCAAAGATTTCAACAATCTTTCCAAATCCCTAGCAATTTTTGGGTTGCTTTTAAGAGATTCCAAAAACTTTGAAAAAAAATCGGTCGAGCTGGTCTGCTTTGTAATGTTGTCCCCTGACGAATAATTAATGTTACTGCGGTTATAGTGAGTTTGTTTCCAACTATCGACTCCAGCCCGCATCAAATCTTCAACAACCTTGGTGGTGATTTTTTAAAATATTTAAATAGATTTTTTAATAATTAAATAGTAAAGGTAAATGTGAAGTGGTTCTCCTCGTTTTTTTTGAAGTTGCCAGGGAGATTAATGAGAGTATTAAGGGTGTAAGAAAAAGAAGGGTAGATGGCGATGTTATTAAGGTGGGTATTAAATTAAATAACAGGAAACGTGAGCCTATCAGAGATTGTAAAGAGTTTAGGCAATTGGAGCTTTATAGAACCGCGCATTCCTAACGGTCATATAACAGGAAAGTAAACAAGATTACAGTTTCTAAGAATAATCAAGTTTTGTGAAGTAGGGGCACCATATGATTTAACCATATCTTGCATCATTTTGAGTAACGTAAAATAGGTTTTGGGCAAAAATAAATTCACATTCACAAACACGATATAAGAAGTAACATAATGTGAACTGAAAATTATATCTAATAAAAGGTTAAATAAGCAAGTTTATCGTTAAGGTTAAATCTAGTTGAATATAATAATTTGTAAGGATAGGCGTTGCAATTGGCCATTTATTAATAAAAAATAAATTGTAAGTATAAGTAAAGATCTTCATTCTATAAAAAAAAAGAAATTAAATAAACATTTGCAATATAAGAGTCCCGCAAAATCGATATAATATTAATTTTACGTTTCTAATCTCTTTCCCTATTATAATGCTAGGTAGGACTGTATTCGATTTTTTTAAACAAATAGAGTAATTTACCATTCTTATTTGATTGGCATTTACGAATAGTAAATTATTCTAAAACATTTTAAAAAAATTGAATACGATTTTGATAAGCCAAATGCTATACATTAAATTTTGAGCAATCAATCACTCTAATAAATTTTATGCTAGATTAATCCATTTTATTCGACATTTGTCGTAAATAAAAAATGAAACTTGATAACCAATTAATATTTGTTCATGAAGTATCTAATAATATATGGCCGGGAAATTTTTGCTCACTGCCTGCCAAAGAAGCAAGCAGGTATAACAATTAATTATTTACTAATTTTCGCCATTCGACTCTAGATCCTGACTTTTTTTAAAAAAAACTTTACTTTTTCCATTGTAATAATGCGATTAGGGCATAGACTTGTTTCTTTTTGCAGCTTTATGTCGATAATCTGATGCAGTGAAGTTTTGCGAAATGTCAGTTCCTCGAGATATTTGAAGAGTAGTACTGTAGGTGCCAGGCCGGTCTTGTTGAATCCTACAAGTGTCAGTGCTTCAACAGAATCAAGATTTATCAAAGTACGAGCTGTGCCTGGTTTACCATTACCATACCATTTTTTCTGCTGATCTAGTAGCATCATTTTTGTAATCAAGATTACAGGCTTCGATAGATCAGTTACTGTTAATAAATTCTTTGGTTTCGTAATATTTTTATTGTCTTAAAATTTTAATTAAATCTCAAGTCATCTTTACTGAAACCATTTATTTTCTATAGTACACTTTAAATTTCAGTAAAAAAAACAATTTTTTTACACGTTGGAAAGCTCTAATTTTGAATGTGCATAACTTTGGACCCTGTTGATAGAATTTGATGAAATTTGCAAAATACATCGATAATTTATTCCTCTCTTAATCTATAAAATTTTGTCGAATTATTTTTAGAATTGAGATATATTGCTAAGTTTCTATACTGGTCACCACGATATTACGATTTCAAATTTGGTTCTGAACCCTTGAGCTAGATTCAATAAAAGAAAAATTAAGAGATAATCGTCTAATTTATATTTGTTATATATAATAGCGAACCTGGATTACCAGTAGTTAATTTTTATTTAAAGCTCCCAGGATATTGGTGCAGTGATCGGATATTTAGGTTCCGTATCTGAAAGAATTAGAAAAAGAGTGGAAAGTGTTAAATTGCAATTTTCCATACAAGCTTGGTTGATAGCTGGGTATGGTAGTCTATGAGAATTGAGCTAGAAAATACACTTCTGCAATGTTGTTTTAATGTATCAGGTGATATAACATTCACTAGAATATTATAGAAACTAGATAAATTATCATCAATACCAATCTAGCTAAGTCCATTATGCTTCTAAGACTTGATATTAAATTACCCACTTCCTTAACTTGAAGAGGCGCTCGTTTTGTTCACATAAGGATAACACGATAACGATTATGAGTTGGCTCCTTCATTGAATGATGTTATAGGGTGCTATATTCTTTTTCTGTGTCAGGTATTTATTCCCATTTACGCACTTAGAAGATACTGCGATTGAGTGCCAGATTCCTTCGGCATGAAGCTTCCAAAATATTCAGTAGAAGCCGACCACTCATAGTATAGCAAGAAGGCATATAAGAGATAGCTTCTAATGTAGAATCAGATATATCGGATAGGTAATCGGCCGATATCAATTTAATATCGCCAATATTGTATCGGATCGGCCTCCAAAAAGTGGTATACCCCTACTAAAGAGTAATTATGTATACAAATTAAGCCGGCCTAATGGTATAATAAAAATTGAAATATATTAAATAGACATAGCGGACAAAATCAGACTAATGATATCGGATCGGTAATCGGCCGATATTAATATCGGTAATATCGTATCGGATCTGCCTCCAAAAAGTGTTATCGGTACATTACTATTCAGAATAAACGAGAAAAATAAAAATAAACAGCTGCGGATGTAGCCGGTAAGATAGTTCTTTCTTATTATTATACACCAAAAAAAATTTTTAGTTAGAAAAATATAAAATTTGGATAATAAAATATTATAACTAATTTACAAGAATTGAAAAATAGAATCATATTCAACTTATTATTAAAATAATGATCAACTGTTATATCATGGAGTAATCTTTGTAATATTCGTCAATGGTGGCATTCTTAGCTATCAGCTGGAAAGTACTAAAGAACACTTTCAGTTATACTCGCCCGAGTCATTTCAGTACTCAATTATATGTATTGTAGAAATTTATTTAAAATAAATTGATTCGACTTATATTTAGAAAGAAAGAATCTTTGAAATTTTACAATTCTTCCATTTCCAATTTTTTTTTATAGTTATCGCCGATTGAATTCAATATTTCATATATAAAAGAATCACAACCAAGATTATGAGGAAAAAAACGATAATAACAGCGAGATAAAATAAATTTGTGATAGTGCGACCTAATTGAGCTGTGAAAAAAAAAGCTAACCAGTTTGCGTTTTTATTGATGCTTATAAATTTTTATCCATTTGCATGATGCCATTTGAATGCGTTTTGCATAACGAAACGCAAGCCCTCAATTATGCCGTATCATAAGCAATAAAAATTTTCGGAAAATAAATTCATAATATATAAGTTTAAAATCATTGATATTTTAAAATATCATTTTTTTAAAAGATTGTATTATATATAAATCAAGCCTTTAAACGTGGGGATTTATGAATTTTATTTTTATACTGTATGTGATATTTTTTCCTTATTAATTTATAAAAGGCTGGATTTTTTTAAAATTTTGAGCAAATAATGACGAGTTAAAATTATTTTGTAAAAAAATTTTTTGCCAAGGCCCGGTCTCTGATATTAATTGAACGGCTATTAGTTACGAATAAGGCATAAAATTCTAATTTTAGTAACATTTTAATTTATAGATGTGCTTCTCATGTTCTATTCTAATGATGTAAAGGTAGAAATAATCTTTTTGCTACTCCTATAAAGTATTCAAGTAAGGGTAGACAGATCTCAGTAATAGAGAGTACATAGGTATATGCCGCTCAATTATTTGTACGGTGAAATAATATCCATGTTTATTTTGTAGCCCATATATAACAAATATAAGTGCGCGAAAATTATCCTATTCGTCTTCAATGGTATAGAATTCCGTCGCATGCGTGGGTAATTATAAAAATAAATTTTACTTCAGATTATCTTTAGAAAAAAATCGTTTAATACTTTTAATTAAACATATCGGGCTTCTCTCAGGCCTGAAATAAAAATCTAAATTCGGGCTCGGTAAAAATATAAAGGACCCGGTTGAGTATAAAAATATCGGGCCAGATAATTTGAATCTGCAAAACTTCAATATAAACATATCTCACGGTTAATTGTATTCGATATAATGATAATCTAAGTATATTAATAAAATTATATATATTTTTTTTTTAAAAATGTCACAAGAACCATAAAGCATCATTAAAAATTTAGCGCCCTAGGATTCCACGTGGTCTTCAGATATTTCATTTTTTGCGCGATAAATTTGTTTTTTTTATACGACATCAAAAAATTTATATTATAGTGAAATATAATAAAGCAGGTAAATAATTTGATGTTATTAAGTAAAACTTTAACAAAATTAAGAGTTTAAGATTAAAAAACAGATAATATAATACATCTTTGTTGATCACCACAATTAACTCGGATATAATTTATTATAAAATCAAAAATGTCGTTCGAGTATTTCCATTTTTAAAATATGAGTTGAATTATAAATCAGAATGATCCGAAAGAAACCGGATTTATTAACCTGACCCGTAAAATCTTGAATTGTGACAGAAGCGAACATATTGAATTGCTAAATTATTAAATAGAATCAGCTCCAAAGCAACTAACATTTACATTTATTTCCCCGTGAACCAGGATGTTGTATATCCAACTGTTTGAATTAACTTGCCCTGAATTCAAGTTAGAGTGAATTCACGGCGGAGAATACAAAAATACAGCAATCACCTTTCTAAGATCGACAAACTCGAGATTCATCAGCCAATTTAGCCAACTCCAAGAACAAAGTAACTATTTTATCAATAATTTTTAAAAACAAATCCTATCCCTTAACACCAAAATAAAAAAAATAATCAAAATTTTTAAACAAAAATATTCGCGTATATCGGAAATAAATAGGTTAATTTTAGATATAATATCATGGTAAACATTTAGCAATTACTAAACAAACAACCAATTTAAAAAAAAATGTAAAAGAACTTTTTTATTTTTTAATAATTATCATTGGAATCACGTGGTCGAGTCCGATCTACTACATATCTTCCCCCAAGTATGTAACCACACGGGATTCGAACCCAGAATCTTCGGATTACGCACTCATCCGACTAGGCCAGAGACGCTACTCGAAAATGACTATTTTTTAAATATAAAAAATAGACAAGCGTTACCTCGATACTATCAAAATTTGGTTAGTTCAATATCATACTATGATATATCTAACATTAACCAAATAAAAATGAGGTATTAAAAAAAATTATTTTGAGTGCCAAAACAAGAAATATGATTAACATCCTAGTCTATATTTCAATACCTATTTTTTTATCCGTCTACTAAATAATTAGTTAAGTAAGCATAATATCTTTATTTTTGCAAAATGTTTTTTTTAAAAAATTACGTGATAAATAAGGCTGACTTAAATGTTTAAATAAAAATTTTAAAAAATTTAGCCGGAAGTCTTGTTAAAGATTCCTATTAAGAGTTAACGCAGAAAAATTAAAAAAATATATATCTATTGCTTCCATAAATTATTTAAGTTATCGAGTATCTTATCTGCCAAAAGACCTTTTTTTAAATATACCCGGGTCGGGTAAAGCCTAAAATATTTTTTTTTGAATACCAGGGCTAGGCCGTATATTTTAAAACGCCATTATTAGCTATAAAAATTAAAAATAAATGTTATTTTAAAAAACCGGGCTGGGCACGAAAATATAAAACCCGGGCCGGACCGAAATTTTTTTAAAAAAATATCTGGCCGGGTCGTGTAAATGGTACCTCTGCAAGTCTTTGAAAAATAATAAATTGAAATAAAATAAATAAAAACACCATTTTTACTTTAGAGGGCAAAATAACGAAAATGGAAAATAATTACCCAGAAAATAAATCCCCGGTAATATTTCTTAGAAAATAATTCACCAGAATTGATTTTCTCAAAACTTTTAAATATCGAGGATTATTATTTCGTGAATATATTTATAGGGAATTTTTTCGCCTATTATGTAATTTTTAAATATATTAAAAAATGGGGATTTTTTTTCCCGGGGAATTATTTTCCTAGATTCCAAAATAAGAGACTGACTAGATATTATCCTAAAATACAATAAAGTTATATTTAATTTGAGCGATTTTTTTGGTTAGAGCTACTCGTTACAACATCCACATGGAAAAAAAAGTGCAATAATACTTATACCAAAATTTTATAAAAAAAAATTATATTTATAGCTTACCCTACCAATTTATTTTTGCGTTTTTTAAGTGTGGGAATACCGGATGTTCTCTTTAACGATGTAGATGGATGATCCCTTTCAATTTCGATAAAAATTTGTAAGGCACGTTATATATGTTCTAGTAATATCTGAAGCAATTAAGTAAACTAAATTAATCCGATTATTGAATCTAAAATTAATAACCATTAAGAGTGAAATATCTAAAATTAAATTCATTTTTAAATAACGGTCATTATATCCAGTAGAAAATTTAAAAATTAATATTTCGAAATGAATTATGAGTTTCAATTCTTCGATTTTTTTTCTTCTATTATTCATTTACTAATTTTCTTATAAATTCTTTATAATTAGCGCGGCTGGGAAATTAAAAATATCGCGAATAATGTACAAATATATAGAAGGCACTATATAGCAGGGCTGTGACACTCCTTTTAATAACAAAGGTTCTGGTTAGTGAAGATCAACCCGGTTCAGGTTCAGAACATAAAATGGATACACAAATATAAAATATGATTTTCACAAAAAATGTTTTTAATAAATATTTTATGTTATTTTTATTTAATGCTGTTCAAATTTTTTATAATTTAATAAAATATAAATCGAGAAAAAAAAAATAAATGAAAAATTTTAAAATATTTTTCAAAAATCCTTGAACCCCGCCCCCTTACATTTAGAAAAGTGTTTATGGTTCAATAAAATATCAGGGTTTAAGGGGTTCTGGTTCAGGGTTTGGGTTCACAGTCCTGCTATATAATACTTTAAGGCAATAAAAGGCTTTTTTTTAATCGTTTAAAATCATCGAGTAATATCATCATGCACACTGAAATAAAATTTCTCCAGCCGCGTTAATTATTGAGGCTCATAATAGATTAAAAATATTAATTTGACCAATATTTTTCAAAAAAAATTAATTTCTCATAATTATCAATTATTGACATAGTTATCAATATTAGATTAAATATTCGAAATTAATTTAGTTTTTAAATTAAAACATTTACTTTTAATTCCCATTATCTCAATTGATATAATTGATAATGAGCTTTCGTTTCAGATATTAGAATATATATAACGTGCCTACAAATTTCTATCGAGATTGAAAGGGGGTGGCCGTAAATTGCGATCTTCTTACTCATTAGAAATGAAATGACCCCTGGGCCATTATACCCCAGACTTCATGCTCAACCCCCATATTATATTCTCCTCCTTTTCTATCCGTTTACCTTTTATCATCTGTCTGACTTTATCTATTTATCAATTTAACATTGGAATATATATAACAATATACATTTTATTTCCACCTATGCGTAACCCACTGATGTATAAAAAAGTTGGATAATGTTACTGATAAAATTACCCTCCCCTATCATGATAATTTTTTCAAAACAGATTAGTATAATGACTATTTATTATTATTGTTATAGACAATTTTTTGATCCAAAACGTGCCAAAAATTGTAAAGTATGTAGCACATTTGTCAAAAAAAAATATTTTTGGCCAAAAAAGGGTTTTTAGAATTATGATATCACTATCAAGTAGATTTGTATTCATGAATAATAAAATGAGCTATTTATATTCATTCGAATAATTCGTTTTTATAAAAATTTTACAAAATAATTCACAAAAAAAATATTGACAGAATTTTTTATATTATTTTTATTGCATATCTATTTTTAAACAGAAAAAAATATTCTAATAATCTGATATTAAAGAACATGTGATCAAGTTAATAGTGAAATTAAAATTCATATAATTTATTTTATAATTAAAGTTTTTCTTATTGTTTCTTTTTTATAAGGTATGAGATTTATGACAGAAAAATAGTTCCAAATAAGAAAAGTCTCTCACAAGTAGTTTTATGATATGGTGTTAATCATATCACCCATTAGATTGATGTGTTATAAATAGAAATGAAGAGATAAATTTTATTTAAAAATATATTTATTATTCCAAATAATTAAAATATTCTAATACAAATTATTTGTTTAATTCGAATTTAATAATTTCTTTATTAATATTTGAACATGAATAATTTACTATTCAAATTTTTTTTAATTCAATTCATTTTTGAATAGACCTATTATCAAGTATATTATGGGGAGGGGAAGGGGTGTGGATTTTGTTTAAGGATCAAAACTTTCATAGGGCACTACAACATCCATCTACTTGCAATATTTGATTTGAAGTGTTAAAATACTTTTTACTACAAGGTTCTATTACCACTTTATGACTTTTTTATAAAAAATATTCATAGCTTTCATGTTTGGAAATTGTACCAGAACATTTTGGTCACATCAAAAATTAGAACCAGAACCTTTTTTAAAATTTTTTAAGGAAGTGAAGTTTAGAATCTGGACATAAAATTTTTTCTGGTTCTATAAAGAAATTTTTTTAAAAACCTCATAAGATATTTTTATAATTTTTTTTTTTTTACCAAATTGGTTGTCAAGGTTAACAAGAAGTTAACCAAATAAACAAAATAATTGATAAAAAGTTTAAATATTAATTATAAAATATAATGTAAAAGTATATTCAAAATAATGTAAATAATGAGGTATATATAATGCAACCTTGATATAAAAAAATATACAATGACACCATGTACATATCAATTCAATATAAAAAAAATAAACTACAATCCCCAATAATTTGTTCACAAGTTTTAAATAATTGATATAAAAGTTTATAATCATAACAAATAAAAAAAAAGAAAACAAGTTTAATAAAATATTTAGTTAATTCCTTTGCTCAAAAAATTTATATAAAGCCTCATACTGTAAGATATCTGAAGGTGTGGCCAAAATTGTAAAATGTTTTTGGCATGCAAATATATCAGTTTAAATCCATAATTTTGCAAAAGAAAAATCATAAATTTGCAGTACTCAATATATAAAAATTCTGTCCAGCTCTAGACAATATTTATTTATCAAAATTATTTAATTTTTTCTTTATTATATATTTTTATGCATTAAAACAATCTTAATCTTTGCAGTATACTATTTTCAAATAAAATAACCTCTAACTATATACAATTAGTTAAAATTTTTATATATAAAATTAAATGTCTAACTTGATTTGATGAATTATCTCGAATATATTGAAAGATTAAATCAATATAATGCCAGTCTGATAAATTTACTTCATTCAACGATTGATTAATATAAGAATTGTGATTATTATTGTAATTCAAAGAATCATTTTGATAAATTGATGAGAGGATATTATTTGTTGATAAATTCTGAGCAGCATTATGCAATTTTTTATTGATATCTATAAAATTTATATTTTTATCTTTGAATAGAATATCTAAATGATCCTGTGAAGAGATTCGATTAATGAAAACATAAATTAATAATATGAAAATCATTAATGATTGTAATATTTCTTTAAAAGCAGGTAATAATGACTATAAATAAATGAAATTTTTGACCGAAAACAATCCTATTCTTACTGAATTTTTAAGCATCCGCTTATGAAAATTGTTATATGACAAATGGTATAAATTTTCTACATTATATCCAAAATTTCATAATAATATTCATTAATAAAAAATAAATGGATTAAACAAAAATTCGATTATATAAGGTAAAGGTTTAAATAGCTTTATATATATGTCAATATAAATTTTTATAAATTGGTAAATTATTTTTCGAATATACATTGAGTAATAACATATTTCTATATATACTTTACAGACACCCATTGTAGGTTTGATTAATGGCAGATAAAAGAAAAAGGGTTAATATCAATGATATATATAACTATAGATTGACGATCATGCATAAAAAAACGTCCACCTATTGAAATCAGCTGTAGCGCCATTTTGTAGCTTGTACGTTGATCAAATGCCTCAATAATGATAATAATTTTTAAAAATTTAACAATTTTACTAATAATTTTTAATGTAATTATGTAAAATAATCAAATGAATCCTAACCTCAACTGATCTTCAATTAAATTACATGGGTATTCTCTAAAATAAAAAAACTCAACATTTAATCCAATAGTAGTACATAATATCATTAAATTACTTTCACCCAGAAATTATTCAGAAACATAGATTGCTACAACATCACTGAAACAAAAATCACCAAAATTATACCCATACAAAATATTCCATACTTATATCTAATACACCCTCAAATATTCAACCAAATAAGGTCCACTGCCTATATATAATTGCCAAAAAAACTTATCACACAGATTCCTTTGACTCAGTCAAGAAAATACATCTTTCAATCATAGTTTTAAGTTAATTTATCTATTTGATTAATATTATTATAAAAATAAATTTATTTTTAAACATTCCTCAATTATTTAACCCCCAATCATTTATTAGAATATCTAATTTATTTTATACATATTAATTGCAAATATCAAAATCATTTATATTTTTATATATATTTGTTAATTTTTTTAATAAAATTAGTTTTTATAATTTTATCAAATTCACTTGATGTTTCATTAAAAATCTTATTATCCACTTATTGTTCATTTATGGAATCCTTATTATTAAATATAATAATATTTTATGATTCATATCTTATTAATAAATAAAAATGATGTACTTATATTTATTGTAGTTGCTGGTACTTTTAATTTTAGGTAAGTAATTTATACCTTAAAATAATAATCAAAATTTATACAAAAAAAGAGATCTGTATAGATATAATTAAATAAAATCTACAATACTCTAAAAGTAGATGAGGATTAATTAATTATGTTAAGAAAATAAGATTTTATAAAAAAATATCCTGTCAATTAAAAATTATTTTGGATTATGTGTTCTAGATGAAATAAGTTAAACTATCTTAAAAGATGGGTTGAGAGCTCATCTTACTTAATTTTTATTGTAATAATCATTTATAATTTCTTTTGTTTTAATTATTTCATCTTAATTATAAATGACAAATGAAAACATCTTTTATTTTTTTTCAATAAAAACATAGTGTAATAATAACATTTTTTGCATGAGTTTAAATTATTATATAAATCATTTAAATAAGGTTTATACAATAAATATATAAAAATATAGAGTACACTTTAAAAAACAAAATGTATTTTTAACAATGTGATGATTCACATTCATATTATTGTTATAAATAGTTTTATTATTTTTTTGTATGAGTCATGAAATATTTTTTTTGTTTGAAATTTTATTTTTAATTTTTTTTTAGTTTCGCGCAGTCATCTTGAACGTCATTATATAAATATTTTTAATATTTATTATGTAAAAAAAAAATAAATAATAATTTAATATTTATAAAAAAAAATAATCTTATATAAACTAAAAAAAAAGTGGAAATTCATTATTATTATCAATTATATTTTTTTATATTTATTGTTTTAAAGAAAAATAAAACCAATTTATTCAAAAAAAAAAAGGGGTAAAAAAATAAATAAATATACTGTTAAGTTAAACATTTCTGTACGGTGAAATTTTGAAATTGGTGCCGTGTTTATACAAAGCAACCTGGTTAGTGCGGTTGTCGTAATATCATATAGTGGTATTTGAGTCTTCGAGTGGAAAATATCATATAGTGGTATTTGAGTCTTGAAGTGAAGTGTACATCGTCTTCATCTACATCTACGGTAAAATATCATATAGTGGTATTTGAGTCTTCGAGTGGAAAATATCATATAGTGGTATTTGAGTCTTGAAGTGAAGTGTACATCGTCTTCATCTACATCTACGGTAAAATATCATATAGTGGTATTTGAGTCTTCGAGTGGAAAATATCATATAGTGGTATTTGAGTCTTGAAGTGAATTGTACATCGTCTTCATCTACATCTACGGTAAAATATTATATAGTGGTATTTGAGTCTTCGAGTGGAAAATATCATATAGTGGTATTTGAGTCTTGAAGTGAATTGTACATCGTCTTCATCTACATCTACGGTAAAATATCATATAGTGGTATTTGAGTCTTCGAGTGGAAAATATCATATAGTGGTATTTGAGTCTTGAAGTGAATTGTACATCGTCTTCATCTACATCTGCGGTAAAATATCATATAGTGGTATTTGAGTCTTCGAGTGAAAAATATCATATAGTGGTATTTGAGTCTTGAAGTGAAGTATACATCGTCTTCATCATCGACATCAGCTGTCCATTTATTTTTTTTTCCTTTCTCTGCTCTCTCAAAATAAAAAAAAAAGTCTTATCGTACGGAAGTGCTGTCCGAATTTTACGAGTTGTAAATCTGTTACACAAAATTTGCCCAAATTTTTGTCGTATCTTTAGACTTATTAACTGTAGATGTACATGTGTATTATTGGGTTGTTTACACTATTAATAATATCATATCTATTAACATTACAAATAACAAAAATTTTTATTTTGAAATTAATTATAAATTTTTTATAAGGTCGAAATGAAAAGTTTAAAATTTGTAAAATACTGGGAAATACAGTATAATATTTTTGGGGCATTGGTTATATTAGTAATATGGATGTGTAGCTTAATATGGGGAAGAAAGTTGAGAAGAAGTCGAAGTGTGAAAATAAAGGGGCAGACATTGACTATAGAAGGACATAATGGGGAAGAGGATGTTATGGGAAAGGTAACATGGTTCCCAGTGCAGGAGTTAATTAATGGGTGGACGGATAGCGAATTAGATAAATTAACCTATAGGCCTGAAAGGAGAGATTCATATACTAATCAGAGATTGGGGACATATAGGGGACCTAGAGAAAGTTCACAGGGAAGGAGAGGAGAAATGAGACCCAACTTTGATTCAAGAGTAAGGGGGAGAATGAATTGTTATAATTGCGGAAGACAGGGACATATGGTCAGAGATTGCCAAGAAACGAAATGTTTTGAATGTGGAAAATATGGACATATAGCCACGTTTTGTTCAGGAAGACGTGATAAGCTACGATGTGCAGGTTGTGGTCGATTTGGTCATAATAGGGAGGAATGCAATGTGGGTAATTTCAAAACTAGAGGCGGTTTTCCGCAGAGGGACATGGGGCAAAGTGCTCCAAATGTTAGAATTATAGAAAGTGAAAAAAATAAAGAGGTAGGAATACCATTTTTGGCTGTGAATAAAGAGCAGAATAGAATCTGTTTCCGTTGCCGGAAGGAAGGACATGGGGCGAGAGATTGCGAGTATTTGTGACTATATGATGGCAAAGAGCATGCCGCAAAGGTCGGGGGGCTTTGGGCGAAAGAGATGGAAAGATTAGATTATAGTGAGAAAGATTGGGTATCAAAGGGCATATATATGATACAAGAGGAAAGGATACATGATCCTTGCCCTAGAGTTTGGATAAATTTGAATGGAAATATGGTATCCATGTTATTTGATACCGGGGCAGCCATATCCGTGATGGGATATGAGAAATATCAGAGTATTTGGTCGGAAGGGATAATTAAACGGGAGGACATCAAGATCCGTCAGTTGGATGGATCAGAAGTCGCAGTGATGGGAAGGGTGGAGTTAAAGGTGGTATTAGAGAATAGAGTGGAGATTTTGGACTTATGGATAGTAGATCGAAAAGTAGAGTCAGTAGTGGGATGGGATTGGATCACCCGAATTGGTCCAGATTGTGGTTTTTGGGGGGTATTCGCATGGTGTGGTGTATTTTTACCTGTTGCAAGATATGAAGAAAATAGAGATATGAATTTGTGGTATGGAGAGAGATTGCCAGGAATTGAAACCTTTTTGGAAGGGGAAAGGAGAAGAGAGGATAATAGGGTTGTTAGAGACTGTAGGGGAGGTTTTGGGGGGAACTATAGGGGAGATATTGGGGGGAATTTTAGGGGAGGTATTGGGGGGAACTATAGGGGAGGTTTTGGGGGGAACTATAGGGGAGATATTGGGGGGAATTTTAGGGGAGGTATTGGGGAGAATTATAGGGGAGGTATCGGGGGGAACTATAGGGGAGATATTGGGGGGAATTTTAGGGGAGGTATTGGGGAGAATTATAGGGGAGGTATCGGGGGGAACTATAGGGGAGGTATCGGGGGAAATTATAAGGGAGGTTTCGGGGGGAACTATAGGGGAGGTATCGGGGGAAATTATAAGGGAGGTTTTGGGGGGAACTATAGGGGAGGTATTGGGGAGAATTTTAGGGGAGGTATTGGAGAGAATTTTAGGAGTTGTCGCGACTTTGGGAGAAAGGAAGAAAGAAATGATACTGAAGAACAGAAAGAAATTCATGATCAAGGAAAGTTTGAAGCGGAGCTGGAGAGATTGGCAGATGGGAAAATAATGTTGCCAGAAGAAGAGACTAGAGAAGATGATGATTTGGAACAAGGAAATACTAAGGGAACACATAGCCAACAAATGGAAATGGATGGAAAGGAAACGAGACGACGGGAAGAGAGGGAATTGCGGGATAGAGAGATAGAATTTGGTATGATCAAAGTACAAGA